AACTCAAGTATTTTAAGCTAAGATTTTAACTTACAATCTCGAGATTTTCCGAACAACAACCTACAGATTAATTTTATGTCATAAATAGGTAAAAATAATGAGTATTATGCTCCGTCCTTGTATTACGTATCTTCCTTAGGTGGTACAGAGTATGTGGTTAGCATTCGACAGATGACGCCTTTTCAGTTTATTTCGCGACAAAGTTATCGGCCATTGAGGTATATGAGTTGCCTGACAGGTACAAGACTCTGAACGTTTGTCGGCTTACAAGTCTACAGAGCAATAACTGCTGTGTACAATCTACTAATCTCTCGATAAAGTTCTATGTTATGCCTAATAAAAATATACCTTTAGACGACATCTGTTCTATTTAGTTTACAAACAATGCTACTACATCAACTGTATGTACATCTTCGGAGGTATCTCTGGTGTATCTCATGAAATTTTACACTATTAAGACTAAATAATGTGTAAGGAGAGCATGGGGTACTACACACATCATTTCGATGGCATCTACTCTGAAGCACACCTATACGGACACTATCGGCACCATAAACGGTACACAAGCTGTAAAATTAAAAAAAATATATATTTCCCATTTTACATTATTTAATCATTTTTTTATTGTTTTATTTATTTTATGTTTTTTTTTCGATTTTATATGCATAGTTTTATAAGTTTTTTTATTTTTTTATAATATATTTTTTTTATATATTTTTTTTAGTTTTTTCTTACTTTTTTTGGAGCAATTTTTTTTATTTTATTTTTTTTTGTATTTTTTATGTTTTTTTGTGGTTTTCTTTTTCTAATAGGTACAAATATAGACTCTATATTTATATTATAATAGATCGTCTTTTCTTATAGTTAATTACCTTAATAATACAGAATATCATAATTAACCTAAATATTTTTGGTGGGAAATATTTTAAAACGAACCGATAACAAAGAGTATTACCAAAGAAGAAATTATTAAATGTACAAATTAAGGTAAAATCTGAAGTGTTTTTGTGTATTTATATTTTGTTTTTTCAGATCCCACATCTATTTTTCTTTTTTGTGATTACGGGCTTTTGTGGGAATGCTATTGTACGAGGTGGCAGTATTTGCCACAAGCGGACTGACCATATTTGGATGATTTCATAGCAGTAACAGTATTATAGTTACGCTCACACTATGGTCACCTCACTCAGAGGAGATGAAATGAATGAATGAAATATTGAACCCCAACTTGTATACCGTGGTGCCGTTACTGAGGTAATATGCACAATGCACAGATAATCTATTTCGGTGTCATTTTTGAGACCGCAGTTTTTGATAAAAGAATTTTACATAATTAATTTTTCAGATTTTAAAATGGTGAAAATTGCACGAGCATTTGTTTGGAATGCGATTTGACCAAATGAGTTAAATCTCTTTACATTCGGAAACTACGGAATACATCACTTAAATTGTTTTTGGCCTTTATCATATCCCTTGGACATGAAAAAGGCCCTTTTGGAAAGTATGTAATGTGAATATTACCTCACCCTAGCATTACTAAAATACCCTACCTATTAACACTGTAGTAAAATTACCGTCTCTGAAGCACATGTGAAAGGCCTTTCGAACCGAATTAAAAACAAATTATAAGCAACGCTGGCACGTAATTAGTCAGCAAACACAGCATATAGGAATAGATGATGGTATTCATTATCATAGAATCCTCTAAAACCAACAGTTATATCAAGTCATATCATAACAGTCAGTAAACAATGATTGGTTTTCAGGTTACTTGTGATAGCATCAGATACAATAGTTTTACACTTTTTTAGCAAAGTGGGAACGACCAAAATTTTAGAAACTAGGTTTACGTGTTTTGACTACTACTTGTTAAAACAGTTCTTAAATGCCTTCACGGTTCAAAAACGATAATTATACCAGTGTCATATGTGGTTTACGTTAAATTTATCCTAATGCAGTAAGGCGCTTATACGGCCAACACAGACACATTCAGCGACGGAAAGATATGTTGAAAATATATGTTACTTTACATCGCACTCGTATTGGAAAAAGAAAGGTTATATGTACAGGGACATTTTCCAATACCAGTGGTTTGAGTTTGAGTCTAGAATATTTTAATATTGCCAAAAGAGTGATTTGTTTTGTGTTTAATCACTTAGGCGAGTTTTTGAACTGAAAACACCTCAAATTGTCATTACAATCAAATAGTTGTCACGTTAAGTGAGAGTGGTGTGTGACATTACGTTATTTAAAATGTTCTATAATTTAGATTAAGGACACTGTCCTGTTGAGACATAGTTTTGTGTGTGTTTGATAGCAGGACATTGAAATAATTTGAAATAAAATGTTGATAAATTTCCGTCGCTGACTATGCTAAGAATGAAAAGTCATGATAGATAGATTTAAGACACAAACATATAAAGCAATGTATTCCTAGATGACGGTACATACTTCATTATTGATGAAGTAGTTGTAGTCTAACAGACTTTAAACGATGTCTCAGTCCTTTTACGATTTGAAAATAGTCTCATTGCAGCATATTTTTATGTCTTTCATGACAAGATACGATTATTTTCTGTTGAATGTTGATGTAAATATAAATTGTAATAAAACTACCGCTGGGTCTTCGTACAGTTACCATGAGAAATTGTGAAAACCTTATTATAGTTGTTATAGACGGTTATCTATGAGGAAACAAAATGTATGATATTGAATTTTTTTGATAGTTCAGAAATAATCTGCGAAAGTTACCAATTTCAGTTCACATGTCTTTGGTTGAACGAAACCTAAAGTTTGAAGACGAAGCAACTCAGCGGTATACTAGTTCACAACAGTTTACATCAACATCCTAGGTGAATATATCATTCTTTAGTGTTGACTGTATAATAAAAATGAATAGTATTTATGGGGCACGCCTCACCGCCTAATAACTAGACTAGATGAACTGTATGTACAGGCTACTCGCATTATACCTATTAAAAGACTCTCATTAATAACTTTATATACTTTATATTTATATATCTCTTCATTATAGCAGATCTTTATAACGCTCTATTTAAATTTACGTCCTAAATACGAATATTGCATCACAGTAGCTGACCTCACTATGCTAAACTTATTCTAATGCAAGAAGACGCTTACCGGCTTACGTGACCTACACAAACATATTCAGCGACGGAAAGATATGTTGAAAATATATGTTAATTTACATCGCACTCGTATTGGAAAAAGAAAGGTTATATGTACAGGGACATTTTCCAATACCAGTGGTTTGAGTTTGAGACTAGAATATTTCAATATTGCCAAAAGAGTGATTTGTTTTGTGTTTAATCACTGAGGCGAGTTTTTGAACTGAAAACACCTCAAATTATCATTACAAACAAATAGTTGTCACGTTAAGTGAGAGTGGTGTGTGACATTACGTTATTTAAATGTTCTATAATTTAGATTAAGGGTACTATCCCTTTTGAGACATAGTGTTGTGTGTGTTTGATAGCAGAACATTGAAATAAAATGTTGATAAGTTTCCGTCGCTGACTATGCTAAGAATGAATAGTCATGATAGATAGATTTAAGACACAAACATATAAAGCAATGTGATACATGACGGTACATACTTCATTATTGATGAAGTAGTTATTGTAGCATAACGGGATTTAAGTGACTTGTCAGTCCCTTTAACATGTTACCTATATGTATGACAATAGTCTTATTGCAGTACATGTTACATCGTTGTTGATAAAAAGATCTTTTGTTACATTTTCGATTAATAAGTCATTCTTTTGTGTTATCTGTGTAATAAACACCGAAAGTTTTGATGGTGAAACGCCTATTAGTTAATTAATTATGCTAACGGTATATACAGGCTACTCGCATTATATTTAATCAAGTACATTGAATTTCTGTGCAGTGCGGTGAGTCGTCACTTGCTTGATAATTATTATACAAATAAAATTTAAAAATCACTATTTTCGGTTCCTGTGCTTCTTTTTATATGTACATGTTCTTAGCTTATTTTATGGATCGAAATACATTTTTATGTATTTTAATATTAACTTTAGATAACATGTACCAGTGTATCTATAAGTCGAAGAGAACTGACCACTACTGACCCAAGAAGAAACAGCTGTGAAATGGAATTAATTTTAAGTACTTACTACCTATCATATTATGCGTAAATATCTAGTTTATTTATGCTAGTTCGAGCCAATTAGCTAATGAACTTCATCGCATATTAATGCGGATATTTACATTATTAACCTAATAGACGATTACTATCCTAAATTCTAATTGTAAGTTAGACAAGTAGACATAATTATTACCTAATTTTTAATATAACATCATACACCTTATCTCATGAGATAAATCAGGGATAATATAGCATATCTTGATTAAGTAGAGTATTGTAGAATAACCTAAATATTACAGAGTTTAAATACTTAAGTACATAATAATACGACAGATTTTTTATTTTAGAGTACATTTCCACGATTATTATTTATATTTGAAATAAATATTTTGCCATCCACCGCGATGCCATGTGGATGCCATGGTGTGAACGAGTGTAATGTAAAAACAATGTCACAGCATTGTTTTTACATTAAAAAGGATATTGAGTTTTATTCATCGTAAATTGTTGATTATTAATTTCTCATACATATAGATATATAATCGGTATTTTATACAATTATGCCTATTTATCCGATAGTTAAGAGGTAGCCCTAGATGTTGTAGTATTCCTGACTACCTGGTAGCAACGTTCAATTGTGCTACGTCGTTTGTTGTTAAAAGGACTACAATGGGTACCGATGATTATGTCGAAATCAGTACCGCAACCGTCTACGTACATCTGAACCACACTCACGTTGAATTGACCAATCACACGCCGTTCCTACGTTATATTCATTTAGAAGATTATTTTCGGGCCAAGATGGAAACCGAACCCACACTTGGTCGACACTAGTATTTCTATTAAATTACTTTTATAAAATTATCTGCTATTTATATGAAATATATGAATAAGTAAGTTACAATGTATTAATACAAAATGTCGACGGTGCAGAATATTATAAAAGACACAACTACTATGTTTAAGCCAGACTAACAACTTTAAAAGAGACGCAAATCGGTGATCTGAAAGCCATATTCAAATAAGATAAAGTTTTTATTATTTTTAATAGATAATATAAGACTCGACTTCTCAAGTCAGTATTCAAAGGAATCGTCTAATTTTTCAGTAATTAGAAGTATTTACACATTCAATTACAGAACAAAACATTCTATCAGAAAGTTTAGAGCCAATCTCAATGGTATTGCTATCCGAAGATTAACCTTTCCGCCTAGTAATGGGAGACCATGATTTCCAAATATCGATTTAACGATCCGCAAATTGACTACGATTACTAAACACTACAGTGAAGTACTTGGTGCTTGCATCTCCTGTGGCATTCTATCAGCTGGTGAACCGTCCACAAAGTTGTATAGTGGACAATGTTTTATTCTAAGTAGGTAGTACCTAAGCACCTATCTTACGCTACTTGGTTGTTCACGACGAACATCCCCTACGCATGCAGTACATTACTTGACTTTGTTTACACTACATAAAAAGATTTCGAGTGCCAATTACATCTACAAGTATTAAGTATAATATGTAAATACAACTTATTATTATACGATTAATCCAGGATCTCATCCACCTACTTGCATAAGAAATATTTTCCATTAATCTCTAACCATCACAGACTTTTGTCAATCACTTAAAGTCCTTTTATTTAACTTGATGCCTTTGATTTACCTGTAGAGCAGATGTTATCAATAATTTGATATCAGGTATTAAGAAATTTGTTAAAATTTTAATGAGGCAATTCGTGCAAAATCACTGGTTTTATAAGAATCTTTTAAAAAATTGGGTGGAAGGGTCGCATTTCGTGCTGCAGTAGGGCAGGTTATGGATGGTAGTTATCTGTCTGTGTTGAAAGAACCGTAGTTTTGTAAAGAAACTCGAAGGACTGCTATCACGCCACGTTATTGTAATTACATTATTCTACCAGTCCCTGGAACTTCTGAGTAACAGTTATTTCTACACAGCAAAATTTTTGCTAGGAGACGTATCGCGTTTTAATAGGTAGGTACAAAGGTAGATGCACAGGTATCAGTAGAACGTGTACATTCAAAAGCAATCAAATTATGGGTCAGCGGGCGAGTTCAAGTCCAAACGCGATTTCCTGCGGTCTTTGCCGAGGGACAACTGTCCTGAAGTGGACCGTTGCAAGGAAGAAGACCGCGGACGTGCCGTGTCAGACTTGGACTTCTTCACTTTACTGCCCCCGCTAGCTGGTTGCTTACCTTTCAACGATGATACTGATATCACGACATCAGTGGAAACTCCGTCTTGCTCTAAACAAAGAAAAATAATACTATCAGACCTAGAAACATGTAGGTAATGAAACCGCCTACATGAATACAAACAGCATTCGGAACTTACCAGTACGTTTGATGACTTCTCCTGCGTTGTTTAAGAAGAATTTTGGTTTGGAATCCTTTTCTTTTTCCTTTTCCTTGTCTTTCAGAGATTCCTAGGAGCAAAAAATCATCAATTACCAAATTGTTTTAATAACTTTACCGACTGTTATCTCACTTTTGTTAAACTTACCTTTGATCTACTAGATTTGGAAGCAGAGTCAGTGCTTCCGCGCCACCACGGTCACTGAATCTCACAAAAGCCCCGCCCGGGCTCCTTGCTGGGGGTGGACGCCTCAGCGTCGACTACATCTCCTTCAGGCTTTGGAGATCCTGTCCCCGATGTTGTAGCTCCCCTAATAACAATAATTTTATTTATAACTTAAACTCTAGCTGTATAAGTAAAACGACAAAAAATCTAATCGTGTAGGCGCTTACGTCATATCGACCCGGACGGTATTGTTATTCTGTTGGTTACGCATTGCCAAGGTGGAGACCATCGGTGGGCGCTGTGGTTTGTTTGCGAGTAATCGTTCGATCTCTATCATCATTATCGGCGTGAGCTGTGGTACGATCTGAAAATGTATACATTTTAAATCTCGGTCTAGTCTTGTTAAACGAACGTTTTTTATTGTACTAAGGAATAAGGACTATACCTGGAGTGCGTGAATGTTCTCTTTAAATTGTTCAACGCTGGTAGCACCCAGTAGCAAACAGTTGACTGACTCGTTCTTTAGACACCAAGCCACAGCCAATTGGCTCATTGAGCAATCTGTTTAAAATAAAAGTTCTGTAATGTACACACACAAGTGTTGTAATAAATCAAAAATGTAAAAAAGATACAAACTTAATGTATTGGCTAGGTTCGAAAGATCACGTAGCTTGTCTCCGTAAGTGCGTGGTTCTTCTCCAGTCACTTGATCCTTACTGCTGGAGATGGGCAACTGCAAAGAGTCCTATTATTTATTTTATACAGTAATGACCGTTTAGAAGAGTATGAAATGAATTATTAAACTTTTAATTGTAGTTGTAGGTACCTCAGGAACTGCAAGATCCTCTTCACACCAGCTGAAGGTACTATATTTTCTGTTGAATCGAGATTTTGCGAATAGACCAGTAATTTCCTCGCGGCCTAGGCCTTTTCCAGTGGTAATGGCTGACCATGCCATCATACCTGATATACAAAATTAACATAATTGAAGTATTCATAAAGTAAGGTAAAGTATTAGGTACCTACTGCATTTAATTTTATTTATCACTCACCTACACCGATCTTATGATACAACTCGGGCATATAAAGTTCAGGTTTCTCTCGGCAGAACATATGATATTCTGTTTGTTCTACTATTGGAGTTATGCAGTTAAACTGACGGCAGTTACTATATGCATCCATTATCTGCAAGTTAATAAACACAGTCATCAATGTTAACAATGACGTAGCGGCAAAGGGAACATTATAAAAAAAATATCTCGTTTCTTCACCTCTGCTGGTGTCCAACGTGCTGTTCCCCAGTACATGACCCATCCTTGATTTATCACGAAATTCATGGCTCGTACCAATTCTGCGAAATTATTTATTTTTAATCCTGATCCTACTAAACTCTACCACCAAGCACAATATTTAATACATTTTCCGTGTCGACTAACCTTCCATAGGGCAGACAGGATCGACTTTATGCAGGAGTACAACGTCAATGTACTCCATCTGCAGTCGAGACAGTGACGACTTAACACTTTCAACTATGTGTTTGCGAGAGAGACCTCTTTCATCTGACCTGTTATTAGTATGAGCAAACCTAGTAAATGGAGAGTTCACAGTGTGTTAGCAATTAGCTAGCGAGAAGCGTGGGAGAAGCGACAGGGTAACACATTGTCAGCAAGTACCCTAACAGCAAAGTTAAGCTTAAAACACTCATCTTTATATGTTTACAATATAAATATTCCTTGGTCGCTACTAAAAATGTAATCGGTATTAGTAAAAATATGGCGACAACATCAAAATGCTTGGATAAACTAAAAACATCAACGTTCAAGATAATTCTAAGTAGACGCTAAAGTCACTACATTTATACCGTATAGAAAATCTAAGAAAGTCGGTAGTGAGGAACATCTATTATCATAGGTCGAGCAAATAAGTAAATACACAGGACGATGTATTTAAGTCGGGGGAAGAGTAGAGAAAGGCACTTGTAACACCAAAACTTACTTGGTGCTCCAATATACTTTGGTGGTGATGATAACACTCGTTCTCCGAACGTTACGCTTCTTTAGCACCCTGCCCAACTCAGCCTCTCCCTTGGCTATTTAAATAATAGTTATGTTAATTATAAGCTTTTGTTCATTACAAAAATCGATTAACTGATTTAATTAGGTGATATTATTATAGACAGAGTATGATCTCGAGATAATGCATACATAAATAATGACACCATCGACTGCACGGTGTGTGTAGTGGCTGGGCGGACAGTGTGTCCGTTTCCCCTCGAATTTGTATGAATCTTTGTTAAAATATTTTATTTAACTTCTCAGTGAAGGGAATAACTAGGTCCCCTTCAACGAAAAATATAAAAAATATTGAGATAATCATACAAATTTGGACTAAAATAAAATAATGAAAATGCTAACCACAGTGTGCTTCAGACAAATCAAAAAGGTTGATGCCGTTCTCCAGGGCGGTCATGATGACGTCTTCAGCGCAATCTTCGTTTAGCATGGCCCATATTCCTAGGCCAATGTTGGGCACTCGTAAGCCAGATTTTCCCAAATTCTTGTATCGCAATCCTGGAGTCACCACCGATGGCATGGTGGTGTGATTTCCCATATAAGTCGACATGTGTCGCGACACATTTACCTCGCCGGCTGTAAAAATCACTTCTGTCAACTTGTGCAAAATCTATTCAATGTTTTCCTACTATTGTCATTCAAATCACCCATTAGATTTCGATCACCTTTGCAGATATACGTGTATTCCTGATTAACTAACAAAATGAATAGTTTTATTTAAAGAGGTGACTTAAATACGTGCGTGCCATGAATTCCAATTGTGTTTTGTCCACATAATTGTTTAGGTAGTTCTTAGGTCTATGATAAAATAAAGCTATAAACTTTACGTTCACAAAATATGTTTATTTTTTAATTAAGATTTATTTCACGGAAGAACTGAATTGGGTTGTTTTGGTTTCATAAGCCAAGTTTTTTTGTTGTTGTTTACAGTATATGTACGTGCGGCAGGGAATAATACACCCCTGTCTGAACGATATATCTTTCAGCATCCTCGGAGTCATATGTCAACGGGCTGAATATGTTATGTAAATTTTCGAGAACAGGAAAACCAAGTCAATTGATACATTTCTAGAAATATCGACAAGAATTATGCATTATTTACGAGATGTTTGTTGAATTGCAAATTATTTAGGTTCAGCTTTGCGCTTATCATAAGCGAAGACGAATATTTCTTCGATAAACTTACAGGTGGATGACACATGATGTAAGTTGTTGCTCAAAATTCTATTTTTAAATAAAAATTAGAAATAAAAATTAATATTTGAATGTACCTTGATCCAACATCTGTTGAGAGTTAGCACTGAAGTCGTCCATACAATCCAGGGACGCGATGGGTGCCCGACAACTAAACAAATATAAACATTTTATAATTAGTTTGTCGCCAATTCCACTTTAACACAATTTTGATGAGAAACGTGTTAATGTTTATCAAAACGTATTTCGTTTTAAAATACACGTTACAATGTTCTGTTTCGTGCTGTTCACTGAAACAATATTACAGAACTAATTTACTTTTTATTGAAAGCGTGGCGGTGTTTTAAAAATAACATCACTGAAGAGCTAAGAAAGTTTGAAACTGTCTAAATTCTGTAATTTATATTCCGCCAGTCTATATGCTTATTATTTTTTCGATTCATAGGTATTCTTATCTTACATTTTCTTTTATTTTGAATCTTTTAATGTTGATACGTAGTTACTGTAACCGAGACTGTTGCTGTTATCAATACTTCTCTTTATTTACGAATGTAAAATGGCGCTGTAATCTTGGTAAATCGGTCGAGTGACGGCTCCATTGTTCCCCAAATTACCTACTAAATGACCTGAGTTACCTATTCAGTGTTGGTAAACCTACCTATACCTACAAGACACAATTATTTTTTAGTCTTTTATTGACGTTTTAGTTCTAATTTATGTGCGAGCTACGTATATGATTTTTATCATTTGAAAAAAAATGACTCTAGTTCTAGGTTTAATGATAAAATAAATGTTCTACCTACTTTAAGCGTATATCGGGTTTTCTAAATGAGTAAAAACGCTATTTTTAATGAGTAAGGCCTAAAGCATTTTATGTCCATGTTCTGAAGCTATGGCTAAAGTCTAAGTAGCAGTTTATCGCCATTATAACTAGACGTGATTTTGTTAATTGTCGCAGTCAATGAACATAACGTATTTACATGGATTTAAATTATATTATGTAGGTTTTGCTAAATTATTGTGACATGCATAATAGTCGCAATGACCGTTTGTGATGTGTCGCCTTTCTATTATTAGGTGTTTTTTTTTATAATCGGCCTAAATCGGTGAGACGACGTTTCTAAAAATATCGAAACTGAAAGAACAGAACGAAGTAAGAAGTAGATACAGAATAAAAGGTACTAGGGTTATAGTGAAAGCGAGGAAGTAGGTGTTAGGCAAGGTGGTGAAGAGACAATGTGACACAGTAATATTCTTATCACCATACCTGTGGGTCGTAGTCGGCCAACTCTGTCTCTGCCATCAGCATGAGGCAAGCCAAGCGATCATATATCTATCGCTGCTCATGTCTTAGGCGGCTGACCACCTGTGGCGAGCTGCGTCATCATCTGACTTGGTTACGTAACGCCGCAAGGTGGAACAACCGTCTAAGATAAAAGCTGTCCGTGATACCTACTCGCATGCGAAGATCGCGGTGTGCGATGCTGCGTAGTGCGCTCTCAGCTTTATTTGCCATTGGGAGAAGACATAACATTGTAGATGACAACTGCAGTTCGCGTCGGCTGTATCGCTCTAGGTAAAATAGTATTCTGAGTTGTAGACGGCGTGTCATGCGAAAGTCGCTGAGCGCAATGTTGTCATGCAGGCGCTGCTGATGGTAGCAGTAGCGGTACGTCTTCTCCCTGTACGGCTGTCTTCGAACATACAGTTACCGATATATGGTGGGCATGGGGTTGGAGTCGACGCTCACGCTGTCTGGCGGCCCCAGGGGCGTGTGGGGGGTGCAGCGGCTGATGGTGGACTCGCTGCGAGACATCTGCGAGCCCTCCTTGCCGCCACCGACCTCGGCCCCCTTGCATTGCATCTCGTGACGCCTCATTCTGCTCCTACGCTTAGCAACGGCATCTTATCTCCCTACAAACATCTTATCTGTAACGAAACGTTCATACGCCTCCGCCGCACACCGACCCACACATATACAACCCCACAAAGTCAACTCAAGGATAGGACACGGCGGGTTTAGTTAAGTAACACACTCAAGGAAATAGACACAGATACATGCAAGCCCTACGCTAACATCTAGTCAGCTAAGGGTACACAAAACCGAGTGATCCACGTCAAAGGAACATCTAAGCGTAGAACTATCGCGCTTGAAATTAAACAAAGACTAGGAACGTAAAATTGCCGATAAGTGATCACGAAAACCGAACCGAATCCACCAGAACTGTCGCACTCACCAGGGTTGCCTGGAGAATCTACGTACTAAACATCTGATGTTGCGATGCGACACGTCGTCAAATATACTGCGACCCTTACGAGACTGTATTGCGGGTGTGGGGAGGACACGGGTACGACACCAAGCCGCAGGGTGGTGCCCCGCCTGTTCAAGTTCGCGCATGCGTGATTGGTTCCTACCGATTTGTTCTCTTTCTATATTTATCCCCTAGCCGCCATTTTAAATTAACTTTTGATTTTTTTGAAATAAATACGTACGGACAAACTAATATTTGGCTAAGAAGTAAGAATGCGTAGATACCATTTGTTAACGTAATTTATTTTCCTATACCAGTAAATTATGTCGATGTAGAAAGTCTATCTAGCGAGTCAATCTAGTAGACAAAGAACGCTAAAAGTAGTATTCATTGAATACTTATTGTTAGTAATCGGACTCGGTATTTTTTAAGTTCAGAGATTTGATTAGGCCATTACCTACAGAATAATAGTAACTTTATAATAGAACCTACAAAGTTATAGTACTTGTTGCAGGCGTTCAAATTATCGCACTACCCTCAGAACTGCCAAAGTATTTTTACAGAGGTATAAAATTTAGAGCTGAGTAGGACTGCCGGTTTCGCAGGAGTAACTGAACCTATAATTAAAGGTCAATAAACCCACATTATAAAGTCTGTGTCCTTTTACAACACTGCTCAGCAAAGTAAATCTGAAAGACTAGAAAATCCCACTTCCCAATGGCGGATACCGAAATATTCTGTGATCATTTTACACACAATTATTGAAATGGAATATTCGCTTCAGCCTTTTCAGAGCAAAGTTTACATTATTTGTGTGTATTTTATGCAGAGAACATTCGGCACCAGCATTAGCAAGGGTGAAGACCTCGACTTACCCCTGGCAGGACGGCGGGCGGCCCAAGTCATCGTCAGCATTTGAACTTATATCAACGGTGGAGTTTTGCCAATGGTGCTCGCTGGTGACATTGCATTCCGCGCTGACTGTAATAACGCAGCCCCCTGGGGAGCCACAATCGCTGTCTAGGGAAGCGTCTGCGAACAAAGGATAATGGTCCATAAACTGCTCGCCAAAGTCAATCTGAAAATAGACCTACGTCCCGAGCCTACCTCATTTTACGGGTGTTGTATGAATGACAGCGGATGAATGAAACATACCGTAAGTACGGTTTGCGGTGTGAACACCCTCCTCAGTCGCTCGGAAAATTTATTTAATTATGAGTTTTTTTTAGGGGGGAAAATCATCGAATGACTGCTCCCGCCTGGGTGAGGCGGGAGGGAGTGTCAGACTCTATCTAACTAAAAACCACCCCGTTCTTTCTTCTGCACGTCGAGCCGGAGCCCCGGTAACCCGTTAGGTTCTCCGCGACATCAATTTATGACTTGGAAAAGTTATTGTTATCTTTTAAAATTGAGGTAAGAGTTTGATCATATGAACATGTCCCCTCAAAGGAACACTAAATATGAACTATCTACGGTTACTCCCAACATAACTAGTTCATTTATAAAATACAAGCTCCCGCCAGTGGCTTCACCTGTGCTCTCGTGGGATAAAAGGTAGCCTGTGTTATTCCGGACCAAAAACTGTCCATGTTCCAAATTTCAAACCGATCCCTACAGTCGTTTTGGCGTCATTAAGTAACAAACATACACACAAACTCACAAATTTTCGCATTTATTATATTATAAATAAGACGTAAGAAGTAAGACTAGCGACCCGCCCCGGCTTCGCCTAGATTCTATTTCTGGGTATTTTCGATGAATACATCGAATCTTGTTTTTATACAAACTTTATCCTAACAGTAACGGACACGACAATAAAAATAATTATCCAATTCGATGGGCGTACCTATATAAATTATGGTGATCCATTTAAAAAGAAATAGATTAAGGCAATTATCAAATACGTCGATAAGTAAATTACATTACTACCTCTACATGGAAGATAAGTGTTAGAAAATATTAAGTAATAGCGACCCGCCCCGACTTCGACTTTTGTTACAACTGTATTAAATCACTATTTAGGATAAAGGTTTATACATTAGGTTTTAATATTATTATGTATTTATATGGATGAATAAGGTTTATAATATACCTACATAGAGTGCTAGCTATAAAAATATGCCGCGCGTTTAAAAGATTTATAAGCATACGTAGGGACAGACAGAAAAGCGACTTTTTTACTGAAAAATATTATTTTTTTGTCTTGAACAACCCCTAAAGATACCGATTTTTTGTAAATTTATCTACTGTTTTTAATTAAGCAATCGTTAACACAATATTAAAGTAATGACTTACCTCGGCAAGGGCCGAATCTACTGAAGTTTAGGATGATCCCATCATCAATACTTTGGCTGGACTCCGGCTTGGTAAGCTGCGTGCTGCACGATTTTCTCAACATATTCTACGCGAAACAAATTAATTAATTAAACTTCAAGAACTTTTCTTTCACAATTATTTAGAAATTGTCAAAAAATATTAACTTAGCCGAAATGAGCCCGGCCGCGGCGGCCTGCGGCGGCGCGGGCTCGGAAGAAGGTGGGCGTGAGGTGTAACTCGCACTAAACCATTAAAAATAATTCGGAAACTGCACTGATTATCACAAAAAAGTATCTAAAAACATTTCATGAATGAACACAAAACACTATTAGAAAAAATGTTAATTAAAATCTGAATAATTAACACACGAGAGCGGAGCGAACGCGGAAGCCGACTTGTTGCAGCAAGGCGAATGTTGCATCTATTGCACCGTTGCGTCGCCGTCGATCCCGACAGCTATTCCCTACCTATTTTTATAGGTCAATATATTCGCGCATGTGTCGAAACCCGATAATTTATGACATGAGCACTAGAGTCCCTGGATGGCTAGATAGGGCGGACCTCCCTTTACGCCGACGGTGCAGTTTATTGATTCATCCTTCCGGACTCAACAGATACATTCAGATTTGTATAGGCAACCGGACCGCCATATTTTATGCCTCACACTCTATTACAGAACAGTTATGTCTGGGGTATGGACCCGGCAAGAAGTTACCTGTTGTTTTAATTACGTTCGTAGCTTTTAGTTATTTCGTGTGGAGAGAAGATCAGTGTAATTAGTGTTTGCTAGAACATCTAGTAAATTGGCATGTTGTTCACAAAATATGTGGTGCTGATGAACTGAAGCAAATGGGTGTGGAGCTGATTGAAACTAAAGGCTCAAAAAGTAAGTAAAATATTAATTTGTTATTTCATAAACATACATCTACATGTTTGTATGAAATTATCGCGCCCAAAACACTTAATATGTATTTCGCCGAAAACCATACAAACGTCTTTGTAAAAGTCTCACTTGCTGGAAGCGTGAATCGAATCCTAACCACCGAACAAAGAGTACGAGCCCTAATTCCGTGTCGCTGATAAATGTTTACACTAACACTTCAGCTAGGTTATTATTATGTTATTGTCAATTCGAACTTTCGCATTTGCCTTCTCGCATTCTCGTTCGTCATTGGTCGAGATTATTCTCACAACCAATGACATGGCCGACCGCCATCGTGTTCACTTCGGTCTTTCGAATTGAGAGTTACAGAATAACTTAGCAGCAGTAGGCCTACAATGTTAAACAGCGAATTTCAATCTTTTAATTGTATCATACCTACTTATATTTCATCTTACCTAATTGAGAATATACCTATTATCAGATTTTTACTTGTTTCTTTAATAAATGTTGATCACACAAAGAGTTGATTCGTGTGCGAATCGAACACGGTACACGTTGCATTGTACCCGGTTGCAGGCCAAACGTATAGTCAAGAAAATTCAATTCATAAGAAAGAAAGTTTTGATTATACAAAAGAAGTTATCCGACTTCTGTTTCCGATTGTTGTCCAACAATAATTAGATACTTTCTATACGTTAAATTATATAAAAAAGGCTGAAAGGATCCGATATTTCTAACAAGACGATTTACTTTTATGGTAATGTAATGAAGCAAAAAATTTGTATTGAAAAAAACGGCATGTAAGCAAAATAAGCTTTGCAACACAGCACACAAATATTAACACAGTTTGCAAAGTTAGTAATATTTGATGGAATGTGTTATTGACTGAGCAAAATTTTATTAAATCACTGTAGAAGAGGAAGAGCGTTCTTCCAATATTATTTTTCAAGAGTAAGGGGAAGTGATACATAATTAATCCCTATAAAAAAGCTGTACCAGCGCAAATATCACGCAGTCATATCTTCAACTTCTAATATTTATTAGCTAGGTAGTTTAATGCCATGTATAACTAAACATAGATTCACATAAACCATTGGCAGTATTTTTGTTTTTCCGTTTTGTAAGTGGTTACCAAAGGATCATTTTATACAGCCCGGTATACAAAATGATCCCCTGCATAATGATCCCTAGGAATCATGACCCCTTTAGTGAAAATTGATGTTTCATTCCAGTTCCATTGACTCAAGTCTTTTTATAAAAAAATATAAAGGACTGAAGTCTACGTAATAGCTCACGAGTCTTTAAATAAAAAAGAAATAATAAAAATTCACTTTTACGTACCACAAAAACTAGTCTATGGAAAAAATGTACCTACACAACATTTAACTAGTACGAACATTAGATTTCAAGCATTGATTTTAAATTTTTTCGTTGTTACTATCGTCAAGACACTCCTATCACTTTTTGTATTGAACAGTGGTCTTTTGGCAACCCATTTTATTTAAGAATTATGTACTATTATGTACTACTCGTCCCTACTACCTGCAATTCAAAGTGTGTTACGTATAATACACAACTGCACATTCATTAGTTGTAAGTTATTCCTTACTTATGTCATACTTCATTAGCACTAACATTATTGTAACAAGTGTATACCTACATACTTATTATAACAGCTTAAATAGTTAGCTCACAGGAATATTAGTTCTCTAATAAAGCATATTATTGTAGTTTCACAATATAAAGGTTAGTTATTAAAGGAAGAAATAAAATGTCCGTAAGGATTGAGGAGTGACTTCGCATTTTTAAAATAAAATAAAGAAACTCATCCCATTAATTAGTAGTAAATTATATCGGTGGTATAATGTCCTTAGAATTTACAAAAGTTGCTTAACCGATAATGTTTTTATACACACGATTATCAATGTAAGAAAACAAAACGTAATATAATAATTGGCGCGCAAATAAATACTTTACATCCAAGTCTAAAGAAAAGATAAAGAAAAGACAATAAAAGACGACGGCAACATAAAAAAGGTAGATTATATTAAGTCTATTTTGCTAACTATTATTGAATATATTTGATACCAATACAATAATAAGTTCCTTATTATTCGAAACAAAGCAGAAAAATGATAGCAACAACTAAAATAAAATTGGATTCTGGGGTTAAGCATCATCAACAGTAGCCTGTTCTCGTCCACTGCTGAACATAGGCCTCTCCAATGGCAATTTAAGGGGTTAATAATTGTGAATAATATTTCCAACATCTATGTTTATTCAGTTTTCTAAATATGAGACGCAGCATGTATACGTTATAGCAAAATAAATGTCATCGTTACAAATAGCGAAAACTACGGCAGGTAGGCAGCTATTACGTTACTGCGATGGTATCCATGCATGATAGTTTTGTAGTTGTGATCCATTTGCATACATCTGCGATAACTCCAAATTATAAGGTTAACTTCATTTGAAATAATATTATTATAGTAAAAGTATAAGATCACACTTGTCACTTTTTAAACCACAAAGTTTAAACGCTTAATACAACAAAATTGTATTGTTATAAACATGAATGAGAAGCCACCTAAGCCTTATATTATTATAACTTTTGATGTACCTACGTATTTCACAAAATGTTCCAGAATGAGGTGAGTTTCTTTTATATAAATCAGAAGTCTCCTCATTTTCAGTACTCTTTACGGACATAAAATAAGCGGTAGAGATACTTACCTAGTAATCATTACTAGATGTCTTTTAACATTATTTATTTGGCAATTCTTACTTCTATTAATTGACCAATAATAACGTTTACTTACCTAATATGTTTTCAACAGTTCGTAGTATTCCATGTCAAGCCATACATTTCAAGTCATAAATCAACACCAAGGCAAATATTAATTTATAGGGAAATAAAATACCCGCTGATATTTTGTTGTGTCTGGTATCGAAGGGCGACTGTGGTGCAGTCTTGCAGCCTGGCGCTGCAAGTCACAGAGCCTGTGGTGGGACCAGGACGTGTTCATCCCTCGCAGTCCTTCTACTGCCTCGGCGATCTAAAGGGTCCAACACCATGAACAACGATGGTAAGCACTCATACCAATTCTTATTAAATGAATTCCTTAAACTTCTCACTGTTTATTATTAATTATGCAATCAAAACCTTTGAAACGAATAAATTGACCAAAATTATACAAATCTACCGTTTATATTTTTAAACTTTTGACTTATTACAATAATAATTATGCTAAAACATTTAAGAATGGGCATCAGTTTACATATAGTTTGTGAAATGTCAACTGACACAGCGTTATGGTAATGCTCTGAATACTTAGTGGCGTGTTCTCGACTAACAGGTGGTTGAACAGTTGAACACGGAGTTCTCAGAGTTCGACATGAAAACATAACATTGTTTTTATTAGACAAATGTATCTACCATGCGCGCTACTGAAATAAAGGTTGTATAATATATAATAATATACTTAGTTGAGTTGTAAAAATATTTACTAAGTATAATAACAGGAACGAGGTGTAAGCAGTGTATGAGCTTGTCACCCTTAGTATTTATCTACCCTCGTAATACAGTGTTAGGATTCGGATTACAATTTTGGATTCTTGATTCAAGTATTTAAGCGATCGAAAAAGTACGAGATATCAAATTTTCAAATAGCTCCCAGAGAGATGAAGAGTGTGGCGCAAAGTACGGTGGCTTTTCCGAGGGTATGGTCGAGTAAAGCTTAAAGATCGTATATAGACTTTTTAAAGATCAGAATGCAGAAAGTACCTTCATAATTAGTTTACATAAAAAACTTAACGATATTTGTAAAATTTTCAGCTTTTGACACAAATAATGCACAGCAGGGACGTGCTAAGGGAAGACCCATAGTAAAGCCGGGAGGCAGATACTTCGATTATCTCAAATTTATATTCACACAAAGTTTCAAGAGACGTCCGGGGCTAGTGGGAGCTCCAGGCGTAGTGGGTACGCCCGGGGGTATAACGGACGTACCGGCCAATATCGTGAATACACCGGTTGATATTGTGGAACCAACGAACACTAACTTGATACGGTCGATCGACATATGTAGAGCACCGGGCGTAGACGAAAGTATGGGCGGCGTTGAGAGAAATGAGTTCGTAACCATGACATCGTATAACGTCTGGGAACTTACCACAACACCAGATTGGATCGAGACGCATCCAAACAACGAGGAGAAACCACAAATTAACGAGATAAATCCAGATGGAAGCCAGACAGAACCAAGCCATTTTGGAATATACCATGACTGCAAGCCGCTAGGTACATAATTATATATAAACATTTAAGTATATCCTTCATAATGTATTTATTTTTCACTCGTCTGTGAACACACACAATAAATCGCTCTCACTGATACTCTCGCGGTTCGTCATTTTGGTTAAGTATGAAAAATTAAACAATTCCGGTCTAAGCAATAACCTGTTCTTCAATAACTACCCCAAGTTAATACTTCTGATACAGAAAGTTTAACTTAGTACTTAGTTCAGAAGCGAATGTGAATATCTTAGCAAATTAATACACTGATAGCGATTTATTGAGCGATTAGAGTGTTACACCAATGATGCATTACAACACTGATACGGTTTCAGTAAAATATTATGTCATCTCTGGAATCGGGTACTTTGTACCTCGCGTTTAACATAATTTGTCGTTTTTTAGTATGAATGTTATTGAAATATAGGGACACAGTTTACGTGTTACCATTTCAGAGGACAACATATTATACTGAACGCATTGTATTAAAACAATTACTTCTCTCTTTTTGTCCTCCTCGGCTTCAATGGCCCGCTGATGAAGAAGCTTAATATCAAGTTGCCTGATTTCCTCCGCCTCTCTCGCTTGGCACTCCTTTTCCTTAAATGTATTAATGTGTAGATAATAATTGTAGGTATAGATAATTATTGTATAGACATCGTTATAGATGCTGAATATGGTTGTAGTGTAGATGTTTTATTACAAGTTACAACAATTATATTAAGATAAAGGGAAAGTAAACGGTGTATAAAGTTCTATCTCGGTAAACATACATTATGTTACTGACAAAGTTCCAGAATACAGAATTTACATATTTACGGAAGGGCCTCATATTGCGTTTCAGTATTTCAAGGTTGCATGCATTATTGTTTATTGTACCTAAGATTTGGTTTGTGTCGTTAAATACCTTTTGAAGTTGCTTTTCGTGCTCAAGTTTCTGTTGCTCAAGTTCTTCTTCCGGTATTGGTGGGGTCTCATCTCCACTAGACGCATGTTTATTTCCTAATCAAAGATGCACCAAATGTTTAGGTAGACACAAAACAAAACACCTCCGAGAAAAAAAATGTTGAAGGAACCTACCAGTTGGTGGGTGATACGATATCCAAAACTGATGAGCCATCACTATCAACTCAACTACACAACACGGTTACATTGACTAGACACTGTTTTCAGTCAAGGCTAGTACGTTTACGGCTCAGAATACCAAACGAATACTGAAACACGTATAAACCGTAAGATTTTATTCATAGACGTTTATTTTCATGGTAGACTCTGAGCGAACTTACGTTGTGTAGAACCGATTGGCAAGAGGCCAAGACACTGCGTCGCAGTAGAGTCAGTAGACCCGTCCCTTACACAAAACTCGTCATTTTTACAGTAAAATTATTTCAAGCTCATATATAGCAAACTATTCCCTTTTTAACATTTTTATGTAATTTTGTGTCACTTACTGTAAGCACTTTTCGCTGTTATACTGTTTAGTATAAATTCGCCACTATCCATGAACTTGTATTGATGGTTTAAATGGAAACGCATTCGGGCGCAGACTAATAAACAGATACTAAACCATACTAATTTAATACGTAGATTGAATGAATGAACAATAATTGATATAAGTTTATAGGTCCATACAATCACTCATACCAAGGAATACGGAACATTCTGTGATAGTCATGAAACAAAATATACCCAACTTCTTTCCTGTTAAAGTAGGTTACACGTGGGACTTCATCAATCGCTGTTTTTGCGAAACAAATCCCTGAGGTCTGCGCGTGGAGCATAACGGTCATTATTCATGTAATACGAGGGGTGAACTGTCGTCACCCTACTACGTCCTTGACCCTGAAAGAGAATAATACAGAAATCGAACACCACTAGAGTCGTGACTCGTAAAACCGGTGGGGTAATTTGCACAATGTTCCAGAACGTGAGATTCTTTCAATGTCAGGGCGCGCGTGTTCCTTTGGATTTGTTTTAGCACTTCGTATTTTAAAATCTTGCATGTAGATTATGTCAGTGTAAAGCTTGATTTTATACTGGTTGTGCCTCGCACTGAAGGTTTTAAAAGATATCTATGCCAGCATAATATATAGAATTTAAAGGGACAAACACAAGAAAGTAGGTATATACCTATACGTAAATGATAGTGTATGATATCTAAATAGCCCGAATACACTACATACAATACATGCATGGAAACACCAAGGGACAATAAATAGGAAGAAGACAAAGTTTATGCTCTATGGCCACAAAAACTAAACAATGACAGAGAAAAATGTCTAATTTGATCTTAAAATGCAGTCAGAGATTGTATTGGTATTAGACAAACGTTAGTAAACATGTTCTAAAACCAAATAAGTAGTACATAGGTACCTTATGCAAAAATATATTGTGCGAAGTGAAGTGAAGTATTTTTCGTACCTAGGATCTCTTAAGTAGAGTTGGAGGGTTAAATCACCTCAAATGTATTAAAATCATTTTAATTGAAAATTTATATTATGAAAATGACGATTTATAAAAATATGAAGATAAAGGAAAAATCCGTGAGAAGACAATGGAGAGAAATAACAGACAAAAGAAGAGAAGGAACCTTCAACGTTCATCCACAGTTATTGGCCATCCAGGGAACTATGAAACTAACTAATCACAGACAAAAATATACTAAGAGGTAAGTAGCTAAATCAAACTTTAGGAAACAGATGTGTGATGTTTCTTCGTGCCTTAAGATCGAAAAGGAATTGAGGGTGAGATTTCGTTTTCCATATCATATCATGTGGCGTTCGTGATATTGATTGAGGCTATCCGGACTAGAAAGAAAAGAGAAGATGAAGAGATTGTGTTTGGTCAAGTCAAGTAATCACTAAAATGCTATGGATGATGACGACGAGTTCAACGACTTTAGACTTCGGTCTCAACTGTACTTAAAACAAAGTATTATTGCTAGTGCATGATTTACTGTTAATGATTAGATATAAGTACCTACTATTTAAAATACTCTTCTGTTTTTTCTGTCTTTTCGGTCGGCTTTTTTCGGTTGGTCTCATCCTCATATTGGCGTTAACTGAAAGATACGCTTAACTATAAATTCGGCGTCTTTATAAACTGTCGTAATTTACATTACACCAGAGTGTATCAGGTACTCACGACTTAATGTGTCGCACTTGTGACACCTGGCAGAAGTGACAGTGTGCAAAAGGAATCTAACCAGTCAGAGGCCAGGGGAATCATAATGAAGTCCGCAAATTTATCTTAATTGTACAAATTATCTTAATACATAATTTTTCACTGAGTGTATTATGAATAGATTATATACATATACGTTTAAAGATAAATTAGAAAATAAGTGCACATATGTACATCAATTAATTTTCGGCATAGGTAGGTACCTATTCTACCCACAAACATTACCTACCCATTTACTTGTGAACTTCGAAAAAACTACAAACTTTCTACCAAGTGATTGTAGTTTTTTTATTTTATATATTATTGCATGGTATAAGAATAAGTACTTAAACGGGTATAAATCTTACGCATAATGTCATGTGGTTTCAATGATCTTGCAGATTTCAGTATCGGAAACTCCTCTTGACTATCATTATAATTATATTTTTCCAATAAGTTTCACAAGAAAAATTAAATTTGTTTTACATAAATTACTAATAACTTGTAACTCAAAATCTCTGCCGAAATTATCAGACAATGATTAGGTACTTTAGTTTCGCCATAACACTAATGCACTTAGGTCTATACAGCTTACACACATTCAAGTAAAACTGTACAGTTCAACTGTTTGCTCTACACACTTAACGATTTAACTGTAGAGTCCGACTGTAAGTATGCATTAGATGATAGGTACGGAATTACAAATAGGTTAAATAAGAAGGTAGTAAATAAATAAACAAAAAAATAGATACTTATGTGATTTTTTACTTTAAAATAAGTGTAAATGCTTACATGTAGGTACGGTTACTAAGTAGGTAAATTGGTCATTATCAGGGCCGTAGCTAGCACCGTACCTATCTGCCGTATCAATCATACAGAGCCCCCGGACTACGGGGGATACGTCTACGTGCTTAAGAAAAATTAATAAAGATTTTCTATATATTTTTTAATTCCGTAATTTCCTATCCTATATTTGCCACGAAAAGCACGCATCTCTATGCCACGCATTCAGGGGTTAAATAAAAATAGGACTGTCATGATCTACCCCTAGGAGAACCTAACGGGTAACAGGGGCTCTGGCTCGACGTGCAGGAGAAAGAACGGCGTGGTTTTCAATCAGTAAGAGTCTCACATTCCCTCCCGCATCACCTAGGCGGAAGCATTCATTCAATGATTTTCCCCCTTAAAAAAACCCCTAGACCATAATTACCTAACTAAAATATTTAGTTATAAATTTCAAGAAAAACGCCCATTGCCATTTAATTATTTAAATGTATGGCATAAAATGTTTCAATATATTTTTAGAGTTTGTGCAAATGTATGCGCAGCAATTTACTTCAAAAATCTGGTCAGATATCGGCTATAGTAATAAGAATATTCACTTTCAACCGTTCAAGAGTTATGCGTAACCATTAAGTAACTTAGCATAGCTACTTACCAATAAATACTTAAAAAAATCCTACGTACCTAGTCACTTATAATTTATTATTAGTTTTGTTTCGTTAATGTTTTTTAAGATTTCATCTTAATTTCACTGCTGACGAAATCCATTCTATTCTTACCTGAAATACAAAATAAAAAGTTCTTTAAAAAGTTGGTACCTAATCATCAATTTACTTAATTTATTATATAATAAAACTATATAACCTAAATAATGTTCAATAGTAGGTATGTACTTAACAGTATATTTTAACTTTAAAACTGCACCATGCCTACTTATAGCCAAAAACTTTAAAATCCAGCACATTTTTTCGAATTAAATTAGTCGGCTGAAAGTCCAGAAAAAGATACTTCCTACATAAATTAAACAATAATTAAAGTTTACACCTTTATTTATACAGTGCTTGCCACAAACAAATATGTTTGTTATTCTTATTTTATTTAGTTAAACAAAACAACGAAACTGAAAATTGGTAGAATTTAAAATTTTCCTACTAAGTGTTGCCAAACTAAAAAAATGTCGAAAAGTCAATTAATGGTATCAACCACGGCAAGAACGGAATTTATTTCTCAAATAAAATAAAAATTATTGTATTCTCATTTCATACAACATTTTATTCTATATAAATATCACTGACACAATGCGTATTTAGTAAGGCGAGAATGTCGCTGCAAATCGCTGTCGGTCGCTGTAATCTACACTCTACATCAAAGAAGGGGCAGAAAAAAAAACAAATAATGTCTACGGTTGACGCCTTGACGCTTGATGATTTTTTTCAATTTTTATTCAATTTACTCTAAGATTTTGTCGTATACGCGTGATTTAATAAGATTTCAACAACTACTACATAAAATATTTACAAATGATTTTGATTCGGACGTATTTGGGTTCCAGCGAACAAGGACGGAATACTTACATGGATATAATGCGCGTTTTATCATTCTGCATGTGCGTGAAAGAAATGTCAGTTTAAAGAATGGTAAAATACGTAATTTGTTGCTGTGTTAAAATGTAATGCACCTGAACAAGTGTGAATAATACTTTTGCTATGTGATAGTGCGTGTGATAAAACAGATGATCAATAATTCCGTTGTAATGAAACGAACAAAAGTATAGTGTTGGGTAGCTAGTTTTTGACAGCCGGCAGGCTCGTCGTAAGTGACTTACGATTGGCCCCCTATAAAAATGAACAGTCGTGGTAGCGTAAATGAATCGAATTTGGTGAATCTCTCAGGGGATCTGTTGAATCCATTGGACACGAAAGAGTCGTTGGCGCTGAGTTTCCCGTTTGATCACATATACGCTTGTCACTCGGAGGAATCAGATCGCCGACAGGCGCATCTCGACAAGGAAGTAGAAATTGCCCTCCCTGATGACAAGGAATTAGTGCCACTTGGGGAACAATCACTTGAGGTTAGAAGACTCTCTGAAAAATTAACTGCTGCTGAAATTCAAAATCAAAGATTGAAAAGTTTGCTAGTTTATCATTTGGATTTGATACAACAACAAAATGATCTTATAACCAAGAAAGAGAAACAAAATACAGCTCTTCAACTGGAAAATGACTCTGTAAGTAAATTTTTTTTATATTGCTTAGTAGATGTGCCATGTACTGGAAGTAACATTGGCAGATAATATAATCTTGTTAATTTTAAAACAAGACACTATAAATCTTTATGAAAATTATATATTATATTGTAAATGCCCGAGTAATATCAAGAGGCAATCCTCTTGATATTACTTGGGCAGGCATTGTTTCTAGTCATTGCATTGTTTCTAGTCCATCGTTAAAAGTCTAGTTACCAATATGTCAAATTCTCCATTAATGTCTGGTTGGAAAAATGGTTAGAGTATTCAGTGAATTCAAATAAAACATTATGAATATTGTTCAATAACAATAATTAGCTATCATATATGCTTAGAGGTTATATTGATATCTATTAAAAATAATATTTTTTCCATAATATATATATGTTTTGATAGAACCAGCTTAATCAATCCTTCTTTACCTCATAATTTGTGTTAAAAATTTTGTATTATTCACAATAAAGGAATACAAATATTCACATACTTGAGATACAGCAGATAAATAAAATAATGGTACTGAAATGTTACAAATTCATCGTTACCATCATACACATCAATTACATTAAAAAACTGTTTGTTATTTTTATTCATGTAGATATTATGTTATAAAGTTTTGCTCCTTCAATTGTTAACACTCTTTTGCCATAATTTGTTCTTACCTTCAGTATAGCTAAGAAACTAGCGCATCTATTATAGCGAATTAACTGTAATAAACATATTCTGAATTTGCGAATTAGTTTTTAATATTGGCAATGCTACTGCAATATTTTGTCATGTGAAATTATTATTAAAAGTAAATACTCGCAGGTATCTTCTTGAAGGGGTAGGCCTTTTTGATACAAGCTATGTTGTCAATCCTTATCTAGTTAGAACTTAACATAAAATTTATTTAGTAAAATATTTAGGGATTATTCAACAACGATGTTTAACTGTCGCAAATTGCTCTGACACATTCCATAATATGCAAAATACATGTCAATACTGCTATTAATAATTTAATACAGGTCCTCATAATTTTAACATGTATAATATATACACACCTTAACAGAGATGTTAAAAACTGATTAAGTATACAAAAATAAACAATTGAAGTGATTAAGATAAATGTTAAAGTCCTATCAACATTATGCCTAAATGAGAAACCGTCATGTGAATGAATCTGAATGAAATTTTGCACTGAGATAGGTGACAGTCTGGAACCTGACATTAAGGGGATTTGTTATGATTAGTTAAGAGATGGTTTTGGGGTGGTTGGTTAAAACGGCCATTAGATTATTTATCAACCATTTTTGTATTTTAATGCACTGCGAAATTATTTAGCTTTTGAATTGGCAATTATAGAAGAATAACATAGGCACATACTTGCTGGCAAAATTATTATAATTATGTTTATTTAATAAATCTTATTGCTAAAGCCAATATTTAGTAGCAAATTGCGATTGATTGTGGCTATAAAAAATATTTCTTTGTAGGTTCTTTAATTGTTTTATTAAATTAAATGGATTGCATTAAAATAGCTTATAATTTTTTTTGAACATTGGCTTATTGTGTGTATCAGAGAGAAAATGTGTAAATTATGTATGAATCCATTACGTAACAACAGATGCAGGATGTAAAACATGAGTTTATTGCATGCCAGCACATTACCATTTTAATGTTTTATTTATATCATTTACATTACCATTTGCAGCTTAAATCTAAGGTGACGCGTATGGACAGAAGGATAACAGTGAGTCAGAGGCATAATGTTAATCCTGCACCTGTTTTAAATCTGCCACCTCCCACAAGTGCGCCACCACCTACAAGTGCGCCGCCACCTATCAGTGCAGCACCACCATCTCCGACCATTGCTGCAACTATCAAAACTGAACCAGGAACTTCTGATAATCAGGTAATATGATATTATGACTGTACAGTTGTACACTCATGCTGTGGATTGGTAATAATTATATTTTTTGTGCTACCAACAATTTTAAAATGCCTAATAGTAGCTACTTATTTTATCCACACAAATGCCTAAATATTACCATCAGAGACAGTAAGGCAGGCATCATTCATAGTTAATTCTTATATTTATATCATAAATATATTGATACCTATCTTGTTTGTAATCACTAAATCTTTGTATTTTCTATTTCAGTTGGTCTATAATAGTATTACTGATTTTTTGGTGCCGGAAACTAGAAAGAGTCCATATCTTTTTAATAATGATATTACTAAAACAAAACCTTTGATGCCAGACGCCTTTGATTTGAATAGACCTGCAGAATCAGGTAATTTTTTTTCCATTTTGTTTATTTTTTTCTTTTCATTTCTAAATAATCAGTGAAGAAGCATTACAAAAAAATTATAAGCTAAATTGGTATTATAAGTCTTTTGATGAATAAAGTATACATGCTGTGGTAAACCATTATTGTTTCCTTTCTATATTTTGATCAAATACCTATTTTCCGTTATTACCCGACATCCGCTTTGAATTAGACAATTTTATTACTTCATCCTAACTATAATAAATGCGGCAACACTGCAGAATTTTATTAGGTATATTAATAACATTAGTATTGTTTAAATGAGGTGCGTAGAAACATTTAGTGGATTAGTTTCTTATTTACTTTCTTCTCACGTAACATATGAGCGTACTAAGTCAAAAAGTGTAGCATCTATATTAATAATGGAACATTTAAGAGGTCAATCGGTACCTGATCTATGGGACTTTTATTGTATACCATATTACATTAGTGCACAGATGTCAATTTGTCATGCACTTGTAATGTGCAAAGTTCAAAGTATTGCCAATTTTGCCAATTATCCAATAAAGCAGTACTCACTGGTGATCTTCAATGACATTTGATTTAAATTGATTTAAGAGTAAAGTTGGATTGAATTTCTCTCTTGCTATACTGCTGTATGGTCGGTTCTACTGCGAAGCAAGTGCACATCTTAATTTACTTGAGATGGTATATTTTAGCACGCGTGGTGATAGTTCATTTGGCGTTACTTTAATAAACTTTGTACTTTTTGTGTTTATCTGTGCACAGAAAACGGCAAATCATCAATGGTGATAATCATTTTGATATAACTATATGGTGCAATTCTTGAATAAAAATTGTGTTACTAAATTTATTTGTTATAAGGTACCTAGCTCGTAAGGGAACGATGTATTTCGTTCCAAATCAACAAAATAGTAAAGTTTGCTACCTGACCTCGTGAGGCGCGGTTGGGCCGAAAATACCCTAATTCTATATTCATGTATTTTCAATCGATTTCACCTATCAGTAGTCAGTGCATTTCTATTGTCAGTCTGTTAGCTAGCTCCTTACTAGTCTGTCAACTGAACCTGAGTTTCTTTTAAGCACCTACCTAGTGCAGTAAAGTGTTTTAGACAGTAAATTGTTTGTAATTTTCCTGATAAAATTTAACGGGTGCTGGGAAAATCACCCTTAAGTGAATAATGTAACTGTGTGATTGGGTTCGTTAGTCATCTTTGAAGTCTTTAGCACTTGAAATCATCCATTAGAAGTCTTGAGAACAAGAAGAGGTATAACAATCTCTTTATTGAAATAATTTCAAGCATCAGCGGTGAAGGAACCAGGTCCATATGATAGTATAAATTAGATGCACAGGATGTTAGAGCTTTATTTATTATATTAGAATAGATGTTAATTAAGTCAATGAGCATGATTGTATGTATCGCTTTTCTTCTATGTTAGTACTGCGAAGCTGTTCTGTAACTTCGAAAGATCGAAGTGAACTCGATCGCGGTCCACCATGTAATGACATGAGTCGGCCTGTCGAGATGTCGGTTATGAGAATACCAATGACGGACGAGAATGCGATCGACCTCACTTCGAAAGTTCGAATTGACAGTTACAGAATAACGTAGCCGAGCTGTTATTGTTATTTGTTTTCATTTGTTGGTACTCAATGTCAAAAAGCGTTTGACGCAGCGACAGGTGCTCTAGTACAATATTCTTTCAGATGTGCCCAGCTACTTGCCAGGGGAAATAGGTGTGCCCTCGATTTTGGAGAACAGCGGGCTGCCGTGCGACAACTTCAACATGATTGAGAACAAACAGTCGTACATCAAAAAGGAAATCAAGACTGAACCTCGACCGGAACCTTTGTACACCGTCACGTCAAACAGGTTGTTCAGTATATTAGGAGTTCAAAGATCTTCGTGTACTATTGTGTTAACAAATAACGAGTATGTTCTATTTTTTTACTTACAGCGGCAACACCGTGATCCAAAAGATACAGAGGAATCGAAGAAGGACATCCGGGGGTTTAGGTAGTTTAAGTCGACTACCGAAAACGCCTGTTGTTAAAACCGAACCAGAAGAAAATGGTAAGCCTTATAATCTTTTTCATAATTTTATATCTATTTCCAATTCGTACTATTAGTAGGAATTATTCTGGCTCTGGCTTCCAAGGCTATTGCATTAATGTAGCGATCCCTAGAGCGACTTTACTATACCCTCTGTATGAGTAATATTATGATTAAGACTTGCTCCCTACTATATGATATACATTTATAAAGTGCTTCATATTAATTATAATATTTTCATAGATAATGTAAACTTTCGTGCGAGTCCAATTCATACTTGGCCGGCTTTTTATAAAACATATCGAGTGTATTAATTTATTCCTTATTTCAGTATTCGAGGATGACAAAGCTTTTGAGCGTTCCTTCAGTGTTAATAAAAAGTCGAAAATGATCAATACTTATGGAAAATCTAAAAACGCCACTATTCCAAAGAAAACACCTCACTACACCGGTTCGCTGTCAGATCGGTTACAATTAATAGATACGACACCTACTGGTGAAGACCCGTACCAACTAGGAGAGGCTGATATGAGAGAGCAATCACCGATTCCGAAACTTATGCTTCAAAAAACAAATCATGGTAGGCTGAAAATATGCTCGGATCTTATGGGAGAGAGTGTGATTCCCTCGAGGCGCATATATGATGCGCCAGCAACTGAAACAAGCTCTAAAATGCCAAATAAAATAAAACTTGAGAAAAGGTACAATTTACCGAACATTGTGCCCTATTCAGCTGCACAAGCTACTACGCATACGCTTACACACGCGTCGCTAACGACTACAGATACGGGGTCGATGATGTCCACTTACACGCACGTTTCTAAGTCGACAGCCCATATACCTAAGCAATCTCCGACTCCCAAGCAAACAACTCCTAAGCAAACAACTAGGCAGACGTCAGCTCACAGTGCTAAGCACTCGGCGGTATCTACGAATACCTGTACTTACACGAACACCTACACGCCTACTACAAGAAATTCGAGTACACGTAGCCACACGACCCCAAACAAAGGCAGGACGTCACAAAGGAGTTCTCAATCTGGCTCTCGGAAATCCACGCAAGCGGCAACGAACAAACTGTTGAATGTGAGCGCTGCGAGCACGGTGAGCACGGTCAACACGGTGAACACTGTTAACACGATGATCACGGTTAACACGGTGAACACGATTAACACGATGATGACAGTTACCACGGTGAACACTGTTAACACGGTTAATACGGTGAACACAGTGAGCACGGTGAACGCCATGAACACGGTAAATACGGTGAACGCGATGAACACGGTGAACACCGTTAACTCGCTGAACACACCAAAGCCAGTCATTAAAACCTCATTATCAACAACACTTAATAATCTGCATACAGCGACACTTGCCGCCTTACACATGGTACCTCTGGCGCTCACACATACTCCCTCGCAGGGTCACCAATTGCACGCGGCGATAATATCTACACCGCTCAAACCAACTACCCTTAAAGAAATTAAAAAGGAATCTCAGGAGGCTACGATGTCGACGCCGAAGACGGCAATCCTACATCAGCCGCTGATAATACAACAACCGACGTTAGTAAAGCAAGCTGGAATAGTGCCGCAACCGGGGATAATGCAGCAATCACCGATGGTGCAGCAACCCACGATACTACAGCAACCGGCTATATTACAGCAAACAGCAAATCTTCAGCATCTAACATTAGCACAACAAACGGCGTTAGCACAGCAAGCTGCTTTAGCGCAGCAAGCGGCATTAGCGCAACAACCTGGCTGCTCCAACATGCAACATCAGGATGCGGACGTGAAAAAAGAATCAGGCTTACGTGTTGACTGGTCTTTATACAATAATCTTAACTTGAGCACGGACGCTGCAACTTTAACCGACTTTTATACAGAGGACCCAGGCTCACCTTTGCCACAGTTTGATGTTTCTGAATTTCGGCAACTAATAGAAAATGAAGCAGCAGCGGCAGCCGCTGTAGCTGCTTTAGATAAAATGGATACACTGGATTATGGTACGATCGAAAAAAATGAAAGTGATGTCAAAAAAAGGGGAGCAAGAACTGCAAGCCTCATCGCACCCGGTGTCCTCGAAGTATGTATTATTTGTTAAGTACGCATTTTTTAAGGGTTCGACAGGATGGTCTACAATATTTCTTATTTCAGGAGGAAACTACGGATAACCGTCGTGGTATGGGCAGTAAACGTGGAAGAAAACGTGCCTTGTCTAGCGCGGGATTAATGAAAAATGCTAAGCAAAATTTATCGAAAGCAGTCGGGCCCAAGCCAAAAACGATTAAGGGAAAAGGTAATTAGATATTGAATCTGTCTTTGGCGTTACTTATCTTAAAAAAAAATGTATTTACGTAAAGGCTGGCGATTGTGATGGCTGAGCGGGCAGTGCTAGTGAACCATTGTCCATACTGTTCTTACCAGTATTGCCATTTGAAATAAATTATCATCATAATTTTAAAATGAAATAAAATTGCAGAAGATCAATTTAAAGTTAATTTTACATAAATAGCCATTGTAATATAATACTGTAACTTAGTCATCGAAATAGCTTTGCAAATCTTTTGTAGATATCATCGCCTCTTGACTAATTTGTACGTCAAAGATTCGTGTGAAGGAATGTTCTATGGAATTGATCCAGTTAGTTTAAATATGTTGATATATATTTCAGCTGCGTGCCGCGGCAAGAAATCTCCTCTGCCAGGAATGACTACGGGAAAACCGTATCACACTCTGGTGGGAGACCCGGACGTATCGTGGTACCTTGGTCTGGACCCCGACGTTAAACAAGAAGACATCGATCAGGGAGAGTGCACAGCCTCCACTGTAGAGGTAAGTTATACTAAATACGTTCACATTCCTTTCACGATTAGTATAAAAATTATATTATTATTTGGTTGTTCAATAAAACTTATATAAATTCATTGTAAAATCCGATATTCAATTTAATTTACATTCTTTTAAACAATCAAATCAAATGATACCCATCATATAAATAATATTATCTACTCGATTCCCCTGTTTACTTTGGCTTTCTTCCAAATTTCTAGGTACCAAGATGGCGGGAGAAACCATACTCTAGTTTATATAGTCTTGAAGGGACAGAAAACTTAGACGATAAAATTTTCGAAAAGCGTCACCAAAAATTAGAAGCTGAAGAACGACGGCAACTCAGGTACTATTTGTTTACTTCTAAGATAAAGTGTTACTTACAAGAACATGTATTTATCTGTATTTATTCACCCGTTACTGAGCAAGGCTTTTATGTGAAAACTTCTTTTTTAACTGAAAGAATGTATTGTATGTCATAAATAGGTTAACAACCAAATATAACCGCACATCGAAGCCCTGCTTAAGTTTCCGAATTAACCATTCCTCTCATGTGTCCAAATCCACATCCCAAACCATAACTATGTAATAATATTCCATAACCCATACTAACTAAGTTGATCTGTGCAGAACTAGTAGCGGGGGTAGAACGGATGATCAACAAACACCCATGAACTCATGTTAAAGACTGGTTTCAATCATTTAGTGTTAATTGTGTTAACGGGCCCCTGCTAGTTACCCCTGGTATGCCTTCCAAATGTCTGAGACCCCATGGTCCCAGAATAGGAAAAGACACTACAATACACACTGTGTTTATAACAAGATGTTATAAAATTAATCCATATTTCAATTAACCTTTTGAACGCCATAGTCGGCTATAGCCGACAAACAAAATATGACGATCACGTCATATTTGTTATGTCACATTTTGTGTGACTGACGCAAGGAATCATGATTTTTAAGCACATTTAGTTCGTCGGCTATAGCCGACCGCGGCGGTCAAAATGTTAAATGCCTACTGTAAATTACCTGACTTTTGAGACATTCTATTAAATATTTTTATAAATATATATATATATATATATATGTAAATAGAGTTGTCCGAAAGCGTTGCTGTATATTTTGGATGGTAGGTACATTCCAAGAGGATTGCTGACAATAATGAAGGTTCATTTACGGAGGAACGATCGTTGAACGTTGTGCGCCACGAAACGATATTAGCTCCAACATATAAGTATGTGGTATTTCATTGAGATAGCTTGCTTTGCCTTGGAGCCCGTAGCGTTCACGTTAAGTTGCAATTTGCATGTTTGTTGACGAGGCGCGCCTCCATAAATGAATCTTAGTAATGAATGTGTTTGTTTAACTTAAACTTGATACATTCACATTATGGCAATGATTCAATTAATGGAAATAATAACCAGTATCTTTGGAATGGTGTTACAAAATTATTTTCTAAATTGACGTAGAAGACGACTCATGTCTGTCTTTTAATTAGTCTCTAACCAAAATTAGGAAAAACAATGAGCAAACAATTGGCTAATTATAATTGGCTTCATTTGAAATTGGAGATCCGGCTAAACCAGTGACAAAATACCATCGTCTTGGATACTGGTTATGTAATCTGATCAGCCGGTATCTTGGTCACCTTTAAACAAAGGTGGCCAAGAGAGGACAGCTTAGCCTTGGGCGCAGCTGATTATCCATAAATGATGTGTTTACAATTAGTATATTTGGATTTTTAATTTGTTACATCATTCATCGGAAGCACCATGGTAAGTTTGCTCATTAAAACACTAATTTTCACAGAATGTTTATTATTTTATATGAATGTCTCAATTTTTTTGTACCTCCTTATCACTACATTTATGTATTCATTTCATTGATCATTTTTATAATTAGATTAAAAAACGTCTATTGTAAACGGTGATAAAATTTACAGGTGGCACATGAGACGAATCCGTGAGCAGCGACATGTAGAGCGTCTTCGAATGCGGCAGCGGGATCCTTGGTATAGCGGGCACTCTCATTACCAACCCTCAGTATACACGATCTGGCCGCAGCCTCAAAGGGACGTGCGAATGATCGAAATCACCGATACCATACCAGTTATGGCTTTCGGGGAGGACCTGCCCGATATACCACCGGCGTTAGTATATTTTAATCCTATTGAAATTTCATACTGAACTAACACAACTATACTCTTCTACTAACTCACCTTCAACCTTCAAGCATTTGTCACTGGCATATAAAATCCAGCTAATCAAAAATAGTTTATTGATTCCAGTAGAATATGATTGGTCATAACATTGTAATTATGTACAAATTCAAAATTCTTGAAACAAATTCAAATTCTAGTCGTTCCTTAATTTGGATTTTTAACTTTCAGTGACTTTATGTTGCCGTGGGTGAGAACATCAAAAGCTTTAAAGAGATCTAAACGTTCGAAGACGCTACATTGATCGTCCATGGACTGCGTACCACGCTCGGTTAAGATTCCCAGTTGGGCCAATCCATGATAGGTATATGATGTGTATTTTAACTTTCACCAATCGGAACCGATTTCTGCCAAAAGATGGGTCTGGTTGGACTGTAAGTAGTAAGCCGGTACGGCACTTCCCAGAGTCGTATTGTATAGTGTGGCCTACATGAGCACGATTAAATGGACATTAATAATTTTAGAATTGGGCGTTGACGCCTGTTGACGAGTGCTCTTGTAGTTGTTTCGATCGTAGGATTTAAAAAGGCTATTGTCGTGTTAAATGGTGATTGGTCGCGGTCGTACCGGCGATTTTATAGGAAAGTTAGCTGACAACTATACCTGATTTGATGAATAACTTCTCGTAGGCTATACTTATACTGAATAAGAATAGAAAATATTGCAAGTCTCTTAAACTAATTAAAATGTTTAGTTTTTGTTTGTTGATCAACAATAGGGTGATATATAGGAATTAATGTTTTAGGATCAAGCGTCGGACATAGTTCTAGGCATAATAGTAAGATCACAAGTTATTTATCTGTGTCTATGATAGATGTAACACGGAAATTAGGTACTTACTTCATAGAAACTAAATTTTCAAAAAATTGAAATTCTAATAAATCAGTTTTGTAGTTGTATTATAATTATTAAAATTAGTGGAATGAAATTACAATAGCCAGGTAGTATAGCGGGTTTCAAGTTTAAATTATAATATTGGTCGATAATAGTGGACTAGACGTTAGTACATGTTTTAAGTACCTAAACTATATTAGTCACTGTCTTTGAATTGCTTTTCCGTGTGAAAAATATATTATAGCGAAGCCAAATAAATGTTAAGCGATTTCAATTTAATTAACAATCCCTTAAAATTAACAAAGTTATAATAATTCAGTAATTAGTTTTGAATGCATGAGATAGCATCTCACGTTAGTTCTTACATGTGCACATTTATAAGAAAACAAAAAATGAAATGAAAAACAATATCGGTGTTTACAATATAGGTACTTTAAAATAGTAATAATCATTCACTCTGGTCTTATAATAGAGTCCAAATGATTCAATCAATAATTAATAAAGTTATAATACATCAAAATAATGAAATAGATCCTTATCAACTTCCATATTTTTAGGATATAGCGATACTGTTCCTGTCAGTAGTCAAAATGCTTATGGACCTTACTGCAAACAGCCACTGTTGACTAAATACACCAGAAGCGTCGCAAGTAAGGCTACTTGCGACTCTTCTGGTCTGTGGTGATTCACATTCGGAAATCGTCGTACTAAAATGTAATATTCCGTTGAAATTTCATTTTGACACTGGGTTTCAAATATTACTCAATGAAACCTAAAGCTATATGTACCATCTTTCGCTGTTTATGTTGACAATGGAAGTAATTAGGTCTCACGATGATGAAATATAGTAAACCACAGGTCCTAAGCTTAATATAAAGATACCATTCAGACGCAATACAACAATGTGGCTTGAGATTGCCTGAAACAAAACAAACAATGTATTTTTGACTATGACTATTATTTGTTTAATTTAATGTAAAGCTCTCTATAGCTTAGTTTACGAGACAAAAGAGTGCATTTTGTATTATACAAGGTACTTCTTTGCCACACAAACTAAATAGGGATATTGTTATGTGTTTGTACCGGGTTTACGTTTTCTAAGTGATGTGTGGGCACCACATACCGTTGTGCAATACCCCCACAAAAGTTTATATATTTTTGAAATTTTTTATATAATTTTTGTTGTAAATATTTCATTAATTATTATGGACATTTTTGTAAATATCGAACGTATAGAATATGTTCAAATCATCGTTTAATTTTCTATTAATTGCTTAAGTTTTATTGACAAGTCAAAATTTATTTGTAATATTTTCTCGAGTTATTTAGTGATCTAGTTTCCACCGGTACCTTGGTTTGAAATGAATGACAGGCCGCTTAAGGAAGAATGGTTCATAATTGAGTTATTAATGGGAATATTTCCAGTGGTAGTCTATTTCTTATTATACAGTATAATAATGTTATTATACTGACATACCTACTTCCTTTACCAGTTAAAAGAGGCTCCTTAGGGAATCGGCGATAATGTCATCTCACATCATTTATATAAATATAATTTATTATGAATTCTATCTTTATTTATAATTTCTGACTTTTGTTACTTTATAAAAAAGAAAATCACTATAATCATACAAAATCAATAAGAAAACGTATTTTAACGAGTGAGATGGCTTCAAATTAAAAATTAATATTTCGAATTGTCTGGTTATTTATTCACTTCTTTGTCGTCCATAAAAAGAAAATAATAAAAAAATACAATAATATAAATAACAAAAAAAAAACATTTATTTCCGTGATTATAAATAACATAAATGAGTTACATTATAGCAGAACAAGATTTCTTTTTTTCTATCAACATACATTTTTGTATTTGATATTTTTCTTCTTTGATGACAAGTACACTTCCAATAAAATGTTAAATGCAATGTTTTCGCATAATATATTTTGTCAGAACGGGCATCATACTTGAAAATGTGAGTAACTCCTGTATGCTTTGAACTAGTTGTAGAATGGTTATAGCATCAAATGTTATAAAGCTCCCCAACTGTTTTACATGATGAATTTTGCAAGTTTTACAATGATCTGAACAGTACTTCCGATTTGAAAGTAACACTTATACTTAAAGTAACTGAGTGTTCGACCATAGCTAATTGTGTATCTAATAAATGAATTCTTGTTTTATTCTTAACAAGTTTATGATATACTGCTAGACTGCTACATATTGTTAATCCAGCATTGATGTTTCTATGTGTAGATTTTGTGTCATACATTAATCGCTGTATCTATAGTCTTCGTATCCTAGAATTGTGGATAAGTTGGTAGATAGAAATTACTGTTCTTATCGAGAAATGTAAATAATGTTTACCTAATAAAAAGACACGCGGGAGATAATGGAAATCTGTGATTCTAGAAGACTGCGCTGGGAATATAAGTAAGTCTCGTTACTTTCATGTCGATGGAATGTAATCGCATTTATATAGCGGAGCGACTAATTATTAAAGTACGGGAATCACGTATTAAATTATGAAATAAAATATACGTGAGCTGTATGTATAACCATTTAAAATCTCTTGCCATCAACTTTATCTATCGTTTTTTGCATACCATAGTAAAATAAGAAATTTTAGATCGAATTCAATAAAATCGTAGATTGATTCTTCCAACACTTACGATAGTTACTATAATACTGAAAATTTCTTAAAAGCAACACAATATAGTTGATAAAGATTTCTTGGATTAAAATAGACTCGTAATTAATAATTAATAGATCATGGCTAAAAAATTGTTGTTTAATGTATGTAATTAGGTTGGTAAATAGAATTCAGAAGGCTTCCTAAAAGCAGGTTCGCCTCTGTCTCCCAAAACACATGATAAAAAACTTATATATTAAAGGCAAAAAAACGTGTGCCAATGTTAGGTACTTATTAAAATCATCTCCGATTCCATTTTTGCTAATATTTCGATTAAAAATACTTATTAGCAGTACGGAATAGCAGTAGATTTCGTTCTTTATTCTGCATTAAACAATTTTGAGTAAACATAAATTTAAAATAATTGTAAAATAGGTGTTTTACTAAAATTAGCCACTAGCCTCAGGCAACATTTATATTTGTAATTTATCAGTCTTTCTATGTGTTCGATCGTCCAGAAATTTCGATAATTATGTGCATTTCTAAAAGAAAAATATTCTATTTTTAGCAATTTATTATTACCAAAGTTTGATCAATATTATTTTGTGTTCAAGAAGCTTTCGTTTGTCACTCCATGTGATGATTTATAAAATAATCGTTTTATATCAGTCGGAATGTATGTAAATAGATGGAATGAGAATATTCGTACCACAATATTACATGTGGTGTCGACTGAACGTTTATACACACGTGGATACGGTAACACCCTAATTAAACTAAATAACTTTCTTCCTTTAAAATAATTAGCGTATAGGCTGGATCCATGTGTCCCGAGCAGTTAGCCCTCTGTAAATACGTATTTATAATCGATTAGTTAGTATTGTGTTCCAATCGTTCGTGTACAGGTAATTCATATATCTGTACCAGTTTTTCCACATTGGTGTAACCATTCCGAATATTTTAGGCATTCGGAGTAGTTCCTTTACTGCGGTTGTTTCGCACATCGTGCCCATTTATTTTCGAACCCTTTATGTTATTTCAAACCGTGATATTTATTTAATACATTCCTCGCTTTATATCTCCTAAATTTTGTCACTTATCTATCCACAATTAACGTACCTGGAAATTTTAAATAATTCAATATTCTAATGTTTTTTATAACTTACTGTTTAATGTAATAAAAATTTTGGAAAGTAAAATTACTGTATTTAAATCATAGGTATATGTGTTTTTAAAGTTCTGATAATAGATAATACTTTTCGTCAGTTTACTTAGAATACCTGCATTACATTTAGATGTGATATGTTTGATTAAGAAATATGCTCCCTCATTTGGGAGAAGTGAGTCCCAGTGGCATAAAAATACATGTAGTAAATTAACATAAATGTGACTAAGTAGGGTATATGTTTTAGTCTTTTACAATTTTCAAAAAATATACACATTATATTAATTGTAATGAAGTTTTCAACATGAATGTACACGACCCTAAAAATATGAATTTAACGCGTATCATAGATGAAGTATTTGCGGTATTTAAGATGCTTACAGAGGTTTTGGTTACCATAGACAATTAGACATGGGTACTGGTAGTATGTACAAGTCTAGACGTTGCCTAATTAATCTATTAATAAGGCTATATTTTATAGTACTTATCATTTATGGAAATGGAATTAATTTGAAAACATCTCTTTATGTCTATATTATAATATGAAATTATCATTAATAATAAATAATTAACCATAATTTAATTATACATCAAGTTCGTATTAATTATTCGAAACCTCTGAAACAGTAATTGCAATCAGTTGTAAGGATGTAACATGATCTGTTACGTTAGTTAGAAAAATGCTAATACATCAGTTAGGAAATCTCGTGTCATTAATTGTAGTCACCGTCAAAAGAAGCGGTGGTTTAATAAATATTAAAATACTATCTGGAGCTATACTTTCCAAATGATAAGAAATATTTTTCAGGTTAGATAAGGCATATTTAATCAATACGTGTTTATATAATCGTTTGCAATTCGCGACTTTAATATATGAGTAATGTTGAGGAGCATAATAATATATTTATGCACTTGAAGCAAGTCTCTTTCAAGTAGAAGCCAAATATAAAACGTCTAAGTAACGTTATGAATTATTTTTTTTAATTTTTATTTATTGGTCATCAATTCATTTTGTTCATTACATGGACATCACCATTATGTAATCATATTTTGAAATCATGAAGTGTTATGCAAATGTTTTGGGGGGAATGTTAGTTAAATAAAGTATGTCTAAATTATATACTACGTAACTACAGATTTATGTTAGAAATATCAATTTTAGTGGTAGAAAGAACTTATTTTAATAACCATTAACTGAACTGTTCTGTCACCATAATCAAAGTTATCCTATAGATATAGAATATATCTGACACGTAGAATAGGCGTTTAGATGTCGTGGTCATGTCGTGAATAGTCGTATTCCATAAAGTATGCAGTTTAATTTGACTAAATTTAATCACTTATTGTCATCCACGATTGGCCGGTTCTTATAAACACACCACTTTGTTCACCCGGGTGATATCACTTCATTATTCCATGAAATACTCACGACTTTAATGCGGTTAGCAAATCTACGATATAGCCACGACATAAGAATATGTACACAACAAAGCCAGACCTATACATACGTCAGGTAATTTTTTCATAGGTTGGTGTAGTGTCTGCAAGAGAACTAATGCTTTAATATTTTGTTTTGTAGTACTGTTTATTTGAATGTCGTGTATTGGATGTAATGTAAAATTATCGTTTGTTTCGAATATTTTTTGTTTGTTATTAGTACGATAAAATAATTAATAAGAATCTTTAATATTATTTTTGTATTTGCACTAGTGATGTAACGAATATTCGCATTCGTTAATATTCGCATACTGTTTGATGTTCACATTCGCAATTTTTTTAATGTTTTTTAGATTTAGACTAAAGTCTGAATAAACCGGTCAAAGTATACAACTGAAATAATAAATTAGGGAGGAACCTAATTTTGGTGGAAACCTTGAATTCGCAATTTTTCGCATTTTGAGTATTTGTCAGACAAGCTTTTTTAATTACTTAATATTTGTTTGTATTGTTTCAACTTCTTGATATTTAAATTTGAGTAATATGCTTCAGAGACTCACATTTTTAAGATACTAAACACTTGAAACTATAGCCCTTTGATCCTTGAACTTTCAATGCTCACATGGGTCTATGGGACTTCTGACACTTTGTTCTTAATCGTGATTCCAAAGGTCTTCAAAAAATTTTACTCTTCCCTAATTGTTATTATTTCAGTTGGCCACATTGACCGGACTGACAAAAATAAATCCTAATACAAATTGATCCAAATTCTTTACTCAATATTCGCATTCGTGAATGTTTAAAATACGACATTCGTTACATCACTAATTCGCACTTGTAAATGTTATTTGATTGTAAATAATAATGCTTATGTTGAACGATCTTTATTTGAGACCGAATTGGTCTTTATTATTTAGGCCATGTAATTAAATGTTAGCTTTTTGAATTATTTTTAAGTGTCGGGAACTTAATATTATATTATCTTGAGTTAGAGTATTTATGTCAGCAATGTCCTGTTAGCATATTTCGTTGAAAGCCACAAGTAAACATAATGTTAACATTATTTTTTGTTCATAGTCATACATTTCATATTATGTAAGTGAATATAATATTTTTTCCGAAGAAAGGGTATGGTGACGTTGAGTAGGTTAAGACGTTACTACAAATGCAGTGATCATAAAATGCCTATTTTAAAAGTATCGATAAAATATTTAAACGAAACGAAAAGAACAAATTGATAATGGTTATCGAATAAAAAAATAATTTATTACTTTTTCAAATAGTTTATTCAAGTAGTAGTCGCCGATTTGTCACTCACACGAATTATAAGATTCAATCAGTAGTTCTCTTTTTTGGTCATTAAATATTAGCTTTCTCCACAAATGTGTACTTTCTACGAAAGTTTATTCCGTACATATGTCTTTAAGTGTCACCGTGCCCTTCCTATGGAATTAACTATTGCTGTTCTTCTCTGTGAAAATACAGGGACGGCTAGGTGAAGGGGAGATTAACGCTAGGATGGGAAGATGGCCGGGCGTTTTAGTCCGATTTCTCCATTATTAGTTATTTAATTTAATATTATAGTTTCCATTATTGTAATTTTAAAAATTGATAGTATTGCGTCATAAAGGTCGTTAACATTGGAGTTACTTGTGGCTGTGTGGTGGACGGACTTACGTTAAGTTTAAGTATTATATAGATTACATTGTTGTTGAAGAGTAAGCTTATTATTATAATTTCTTAAACAATAGCTATTAGTGTGTAGCGTTGCAGTGCAGTTAAATTGTTCCACTCGAGTATAGGCAGTGTTACGAAGTAATTGTGTTAATGTTTTGATTATATCCGATATTTACTGCACTCACCACTTGGCATAAAAATAATAAGATCTCATTAATCGTTAATTAATAATTTGGAATTTAACTGTTCTTATAGATATTATGGAAGTAAAGTCGGGTACACTTGTCATAAAGTGTAGGTACAAAACATTCTGATTGAAACTGCAGCATTGTACCGACTATAAACAATAGGAAATTGCATATCAGTTAAGAGAAATGGAACATCGGCGACTTGAGTAACTTTTGTCTGAATAGTACCTTACTTTGTGTTTGTAAAACTGTAGTTGTACACTAGTTTGTTTTTTTATTATTCAACAAAAAAATGTAAATTAATCTGCTGTGTAGATACTATTATAACGTGGCATTTATTAAATAATCTTACAATATATGTTTCAGTGTACAAGTTAGTAGTGTATATAACACACTATTAAAATTAGGTAGCTTAAATATTTATCTTCCCATATATTTAAGGCTCCTAACTTCGGTTTAATTACGAATTCATGTGATACTTCAGACTAAGTTGTATAAGTACATGGAAATAAAGGAACTTTGTCTTTAGAATTGAATTCAGACTTTTATTTATGTTTGTACCTTACCAAAGATAAGAAACACTATTTTGAAGTGCGATGAACAATTTTATCGAAGGAGATTCAGATGACTCTGACGACGAGATTCTTCTACATCCATTACCTCCTTTCCCTTCTGTGGCAACTTTAAATAAGGACACTATACAAAAAATCCGTAACACCCACCTACTAGTTTTAACAACTAAGTACTTTTGCAATCTCCACAGCATTCGTGACCATGTTCCTGGTCAGTGCGTCATCGCCAGTTATTACCGCCAGGTAATATCCATAACATTGTTGGAACAATCATGTTTTAAGACCAGTTGATACACGTATCCGGCGTAAGCAGACATAATTACATCCAATTACACTACCGTACAGTAGCGTGAATGCAAATCTTAGTTATTGAATTTAATTTACACCCAGCACACACTCATTAAAACTCACAATAGTATCGCTACAATACTGTGCAATTATCTTTTAAACACTTACTATACAAAAGACGAATGAACTATTTATGAAAATACCTACAGTCGTAATGTAAGTCACAGGCCCACAGGTATTGGAATGTTTAGTGATCAGAGCACTGAAGTACTTACGTATGTTCACGAGGACTTATGTATAGTTGTATTTTCCAATCGAAATTGTATTATTTTACATAGGGACTTATTATGAAATTATAGTAATACTTACCTATTGTAATTATACGTTCCTAGAGAGAGGTGGGAAAAATAAAATTAAAAAAAAAGTGTGACATGGGAAAATGGGAACTTACACTTCGCCATTTTGTCACTCGGTCAAATTGGGCATCTAATACCTACTCCAATTAAGAAATGCAATTGAATAAAATAAACACAAATTAATTAGTCGTATGTATTTATATTTCAATAAAGTCAAATCAATCATTACATTATGTAAATAACCCGTTACAAATAAAATTAAATACAAGAAACTGCTTGAGCTTATAATTAGCACCAGATAGCCCCAATTATTTTAACATAATACAATCAAATTATATCATAATTACTGTAAATAAAAATATTAACTACTAAGTACTAAAATAGATAATAAATAATTACAATTTTATTTTTGTAATATAAATTACTAAACTGCAACATTAGCAAAATACAATCATCTAATAAAGGCCACATAGGTATATATTTAGCATATTACAAATATTCTTTTCATAATACTGTAATTTAAATATATTTATTTTATTTATTTATTGAAAATAGATTTTAATTCTGCATTATATATATTTCATTGTATTAACGTATAGTCCTGTCATTTCATAAGAAAAATAGGGATTAATTACTCTTGAAGTCATGACAATACAATAACGATGCAGTCGTTAGCGTAAGCTGAAAAGATTTATAGGAGTTGTTTAAAAAAAATAGAGCTGTGTAAATTATTTTGCTTTTAGTTTCAATAAGGCCATAGATAGAAACTTGGCTTAATATAAAAAAAGAAGTAAGAAGAACGTCGAAAGAACTTTGCGGCTTTGTTACGCCAGAATGATCTTTTTATAATTTTTTTGTTTTGATCTAAATTAAGTAAAATAGCAATTTTTAAACTCCCAGTAACCCTGGAGGTAAAATTTCTAAAGTTTAGAAAATTGAATATATTTCAATAATATGGCAACCAGATATGATATTATGTTATGTCATTAAATTATCTTAACAAAATATTACTATCAACTATATATTATAGTCAATTACTATAACAACAACAATTAAAAATGGTTCAATCAAAAGATCAAAAAAAAAATTAGATGAATGTTCCCCACCACAAACTGATATTGCATGTTATAATGACTCTATACACTATCCAAGTATATTAAAATAACTAGCATCTAGTGATATTTTGCGATATAGTCCTTAAATCTATAAAATATTTAGTCATAACAGTTTTACTTGAAACTTTGGTGAAACAATAAAATTTATCTAATGAGAAATCGTGTAAATAAGATAATATTTTAAATTGACACAGCATATACATTTACTTCAGTCTCTACACAGTCTTTCAATAGGTTATCAAGTTTATCATGTGTGGTTTGGCCGGTTGGAATATTATTAGCATATGTCTCAATCTCTGCAACGCGATCTTCCTCCAGCATTTGTATAACCTTCGCAACGTCATCGCCATCATTGTCGCTTGCAGATATGCGTCCCATATGCAACTTATAAAGGTGATGTTCTCTAAGTGGCTGAAAAGAGTAAATTTAAATTTATGCCCATGGTAAATACTTTTTCATTATGATTAAAATTCTTTACATTATGTTACAAAGTAGTAATGTTTAACTCATGAGAGGTACTATTTATAAAAAAATTAATGCATGTTACATGCATATGAGTAATATTACCTCATCTGGGCTCACAATGAATGGAGATGCTTGGGCATTCTTGGTGAAAACGAATGGTTTGAAGAACGACAAGCTGGGGTCTGGTGTAGCAGTGAACCAATGCACACTTATCGTTTTATCTGAGAGGCTAGACACCTGGAAACAAATCAATTAATGGAATTAGAAAATAATTTTAATGGCACATTATCATGTATCTGATAATTGTCTATTTTTGTGGGCTTTTACCTGACTTCCTTGGGTGGGGAAGGTATCATCACAACTTCTGCAAATACGGCTGTCCTTGTGTCTTAAAACATTCATCATGGCCCTCACATCAAATGCTGATGAAGAGCTTCCCTCTTTCAACAATCTGGCACCTTCTTGCTGCCTTTGTTCATCACCACCCGATGAGAAACATCTGGTGAAATTGAATTCACTCTGGAAATAATAATATTAATGATTTCAATACACCACTTATATTTTACTACCCTCATGGTCAAGTGATCATAAAGTGATAAGTGCAACAATCAAACAAGGGCAATATTGCCAATTACAACATTTTTATTATCACTAGCCTCCATCTCGGCTTAATCAGCTTTGAATCATTTATTCAATGAAAAGAGATGTCACATATAGTAATTGTAAATACCATCAACTTCAGCATTTCTACTGACCTGTCCGTCCCAGAGACCCAACCTTTTAGATTTTTCCATCAAATTGCTAGCATGTTTATCAATCTTTGTTGCAATAGTGAGACCATTGGAAATGTTTCTATAGCCACTTGTGACTCTTTCAGCTGCCCATAACTTGCCGCTGGTCTCTAAAACCCAAGCTTCTTTGGTGTCTGCTATAAGGAAGGAGTTGTGATAGATGTGGCTATCATCATGTTCAGAGCAGGGACCGCCTTGACCATACTTCTCAAGCAGTGATGTTATAACATCTAATGCTCCTTCTGCAGTGTTAGCTCTCTCTAATCCTAGCCTAAACAATGAAATGCTGATTAAAAAAAGGGTTCTTTACAATTTTATTTTATCAGTAAGGCAGTTACATAAAGTGCCAAAGCAGTCAATTTATGGGTACTAGCCTATTAAATAATTGGTGCTATGTAATTGTCTTGATGACTGAACATTCATTTATTGTGTACTTACAGCAATATTAATAGGTTGGTATAGACTAGCTCTAGATAAATATGTTTAAAATTAAAGTGTATGTTTGTATTAACATTGTTTGACTCTTTCTTGTAATGTGTAACTGTTGTATATTAAACTTACCGCACCAAGTCCATCCCTAACAAGCGCTTGGGTCGTGCATCACCTTCTCCTTCATTGTTATTAGTCCAAACTGCCTCATTGCCAATAACTACATTCTTGTCATTAGCACCCATCTCAGCACCCCACATCCAAGCTGGTTTGCTCAATATTACTGTATTTACCGGTGAAAACCCATCTATGGTGATGTAAGTGCACTGCAACATAAACCGTTGTTAAGATACCCTCTTAGTATGAAAGTCATGAAACCTGTATGTTTCCAATTTGTCTGCTTTTTGTCTTTAATTTGCATGTCCCATATTAAAACAGTCTTCCTTTAGTCATTCTCGGCTTTAATCCTTTAATAAGGCTAATAAAGGTTCATAGTTACCTTTAGCTTATCATCCCTGGGCCCTCCTTTGATTAAAACTACTTCTTGGACTTCATTCTGCGGACGATCAGAGTTTTTTCCAAACACGACGGATTGATTTTTTGTTAACGGCGGTAACACGACAAATGTATCGCACGATCTTGGCAACTTGGATAACATTTTAACCAGTGGAATCAATAAAGAAGACCAATGAAAATTACACAACTGTACTCTGTATTAGAGTGGCGTCAACTGGATATTATAAAAAATATTTTCTCTATATATAGGCTAACGAACGGCACGCGAAAAATTGTAAAATAATTAAAAAGCCCGCGCAATACAAGTGAATTAGAGCAATCGATATTGTTATGTCAAGGTGACAAGGGTCAAGTATATTAAAAAGGTAGCACCATCCGAGTAATAATATAAATCATAGCAGCATATATGGCGATTGTTAAACTAGTTTTACAAATTATTTATAGTGTTCATTACAATATTGCGCTTTATTTTTGCTTTTGTTTTGACGTAACAAAACCTTACGACGATGACATAGTTTTGTTTATTGACGTTGTCACTGTACTGTTAGATGTCAAAACTAGAGGTGAGGGCGTGCAGCCAGTAATTTTGTAGTCTAATTTACTTAGTACTGTTTTGTTGTTTACGTGACAGCATACTAGATGGCGACAGTAAGACTTTTGGTACTGTAATTAATTTAGTTTTGTATGAAAACTCAAGGGAGTTTAAAAAAGTTAGTTGCCTAAAATGTATTAGGTTTAACTTAATACTTACTGCACAGTCGGCGTAGTGACTGAGCAACCGGCTGCCGCGCAACGTGCTGCGGATTTGATTCCCGCACGAAAGAACCCTTTGTGTGATCCGCAGATTGTTGTTTCGGGTCTGGGTGTCATTGTGTATCTGAAGTCGTATATTTGTAAACGCACCACCACACAGTAGAAAATCCTAGTGAAGGGCAATGTAAGAAAAAAAAAACGAATTAAGCATAATTACATAGGTAATTAATGTAGGTAGCTGAACTCATTCCTTATAAAAAAGAGTACCTACTTGCATTCTTTCATTCGATTCAAGTTTCATCGTCGTCAAGCGTTTTTCGTTTTTCTATGCTGGAAAAACTAGGTAGTAATTAAATACCTATTTAGCATAGATACATATTTATTCTAGTTTTGATATTTTATCTTCTATTATATAGTGTACCGGAGTACCTATGCTATGAAAAAGAGTTTATCGATGTTTTTCATCAAATTATTTGCATAATTCGAAATAGGTAAACAATGTTGTAGATAATAAGAATGGAGAGGTACCTACATAGTACTTCCTGTTTATTTAAACCAATTGTGTCTAGATGCAATGTTACACAACAAAAGAATATTAGGTATCTAATACCTAAACAGTGCAACTTTGTCGTGCCAAGTGATACAGATCACGGAAATCCAGCTGCATAATTTGTGTTTAAGGAAATGTAAGTACCTAACTTGTATGTGCATAGAAGGTACCTACCTTTTCTTATTACAATAGCACGCAAAAATGTTAATTTCAGTGGTGTAAGTAAAAATAGAAACACTGACTTCAGAATATTGTGATTAAATTTTACCAAATTATTCTGAAAGCAACTGATGTGACTGTATAATAATATAAATATGTAACTACGAGTACGTCCTCCGGCTGCCGTCTTGCCCGCCTGAAAAGGGCCTACGTAGGTATCTAAAAATCCTGCTCCCGATGTGATCGTGGTTGATTTATTGTTGTTCACTGGTGAAAGTCGACTTTCCCGAAACAGTTGTATGTGCATCTGAAGCGTCTGTTTGCTGTCTGTCTGTTATGTTGGTCTATCACATGAACACCAAAGCTTCCTAATTAATAAGGATACCTGCTGTTAATAAAATCTATCTCAAGACCATCAATTTATAATTAATATATAAAGATATAGCATGGTTGGTTCTTTGAATTTGTATTGTATTATAAGGCCTACTTGAATTAAGCAGGTGTATTATGAAACAAGGATGTTCACCGTCAATTAAAATGTTTTCGCCCTCGGCTCGCCCAAAGAAAGCCGTGCTCGTAAATCATTTATGTAAATCAACAACAACAATGAAGCAAAATAATATAGAGAGTGCTCTATGGAACGTCGCGCCGGATGTACTAGCGACTTCCCGCCGGTTTCTGACGGTTTTACCTCCTGTTTCCGCTACGGTGGGTAGGTTACCAACGCACCCTGCTGCGAACTTGGTTGTGTACTCTTAAATATCGTATAATCATATACTTAAGTTGCCGTATTTATGGCCAGGTAGATTGTCTGTGCCTGGGGTTTCAGCAGGTAGCGCAGGCATAAACGTTCGCTTTTATACTTTATGTGTTATACCTGGGTACGTTGTTCAATGAGTTTGCTGTTATAAGTCGTACTTATTGGTTTGTGGGAAGTGAACTATCAGTTTTCATTTGTGTATTTTGTTATACTGCAATCCTGTCGTAGGTAGGTAAACAAAAATAACGTTTGGTCCATGACCAACATTTATTTTTTCTTCATATTCAAGATAAAACTTCTTTGCTTAAAATTAGAAACGTTAAAAAGCATGTGGTAAACGGAGTTCTGTGTTTAATTACATATTTTTTGATTAATAAATTCTAGTTTGTAGCTGTTGTATTGTGTAAAAGTTTAGCGTGTTTTACAATGAGAGTAACCAACACACTTTGTGCCTCCTGAGTATCAAGAGGCACAAAGTTGGCGTTCTAACTACCTCTCCTATTAATAAAAACTATGATATTATGTAATGTAGGTAAACTAAATTAAAGAGAGCATTCTATCGTGGCCGCTCTCTCACCGTATCATACACTTTTATGCCAGTGCTGAAGTTTTTAGTAGGACTGATTTATTTATGCATCATTTATCATTCCCAAACTTCGGATTGAAGATTTGACATTCTTGACAGGCCTCATTTAATCTTCTTAAGTGTCTAATACACGCTCTACTGAACTCCCAGTCAATTCAGCACCGAACCGAACGTAGCTTCTCACTGAAAACGTAGTACTAAGACTTGTAGTAGGTATACTTACCACGTGCTGTAGATTAAAGTACAAAGTACCTACTACAAAGTGAAAACAATTTTAGATCTAATTAAAAATCTTACGCTGTTTACACTCTGAAATGGAATTTTCTACTTTTTAAATTCTTATAAATTCATCTTGAAGTGCGAATTAATATTGAATCAGTGAACGCCAAGTCCTTGTTTGTTTAGATTAAGGTTATTAAATTGTGCAGGAAATTATTGAGTTCGTAGCACTATTTTATTGTGCATGTGTGTGTTTGTGCTATACAAGTTGACGGTAAGTAGGTTTGTAGCAATCAGCGCCTTCTTGGTGCAATGCAGTGTCCCCTACGTGTTTACGTGTACTCGCACATGCTAGAATGATAATAAGTAAATAATATCACATTTACGGCAAGAATTTTAATGGATTTTCGTAGCAATTTGAATATATTTTAATGAGCGCGCGTGAGCCGGTGTGGCTTCCGGTCCTCTATAATTATATCAACAGTTAAGTAAGACCGGAAGATTCACTTTCCGTTCACGGCCTATTTTTATTTTAGTCTTAAGTACGTTCGATGCAAAATTGTTTTTTATTCTTGTTAATTTTATCTTAATTAGAATTATGATTGTGTGTTATTGCCCTAAGTAGCAGGAAAAGTTTGAAATATCTAGGTACTAAAGGTATTTTGCACTGGAACAATAACCAGCAGCTTTGAGGGTTAGAACAACATTCTTGTGCATGCTACATTGTGCTGTTTACGCGCTGGTGCGTCCTATAAATTCATCGCGTTATTGCTGTGTCTAAGTGGTTCCCGGCCGATGCACTGAGCATTACAAGCTTCCGTGCGACTTGTATCTACGGAGCTCACAGATCTATTGTGTACACCTAGCTTCCGGATTTGGGAGCTCATTGTTTCAGACTTAAACCAGCTCAGCCGTCGCTTCGAGATTGATACCGGGAGTTTAGAGCAGGTGATTAAAACCTGGAGCTACTCCAGATAAGGTATTTCGTTTTTTTATGTTTTATTTTTATAAAAGGTAGGTATAGGTAGGATTGAAACCAAAACAAAGAAGAGTTTTCGGATAAATGAAAGATGATATTTTTGTTAAACTTTTTGGGATTATGTCCTAAGATAGGATTTCAGGAAAGATTTCGTTACACGATTGTTAGTCAAATCAATCTTATGAAAAACATCTTTGAACAGTGTCTGTTACCAGCGTTGGCCTATAAAGCTGTAAATGATCCAAAGTGGACTATTCTGCGTATTTCAATAACTTTATCCGTATGAATGAAGAATGGGGAAAAAGTTTTGCGTAATCGTAAAAGTTGTAATAAATGTTTGTGCCACTCTTATTGTTGGGATAACAGGACATTAATTATATTGTGTAACAATACCTGCCTAAAGGTAGGTACTTCATTTCGGTTTCCTGTATAGAAGTATTTTAATATTTGTGAATTAAAAACATTACTTAATACCTGATATCCATTCTTTAGTAGCAAAATTTGACAGTTCAATTATGGTTAACTGGCTAATGTTATTTCTGAAAAATTCCTTAGGCCACTAATTTTTTTTTTATTCTTCTGATTTCGATCTCTCTTCTGTTTCTTGTTCATCAATTAAATGTTTAATTTCCTAACTTTTATTCTAGATTCAGGAAGGTATGGTGGCCAGTCGGCCCATTTCTTTCTGTAAATTTTTTCTATCACCTAAATTTTCAACTTTATTGTATTGACATGAAGTCGTAATACTATGATTAATTGACAGATCGGATTAGGTTGGTCTGCTGGCCGGCTGGTACGTTCTAAAAGTGCAACCATTGAAGGCAGCAGCAAACTTCAGTTTCGAACCAAACTGTGATTTCGGAAGCGTCTGCCTAACATGAACGAGGATTGTTTAACAAATGGTTATGATGACTTTGCTCTGCTTGAGATATCTTCTTACTTAGACACAATTAATGATCAGTCTTGAAACTAATTAAGTATAGTATAATTGAATTGCAAAGCACTCAACCAATGTGTCGCCTCTAGCATCTACTCACTTAGCTTGTCGCTAATGCAATTCATAGAACTCATCAACGCAGAAGCATTGGGAGATTCCTATCAGAATACTTCCGTATAGGGCGCTTAGTGGACACTTGCCTACGTATCCTTAAACTATTTGCAACAATATATTAAAATTATCATTTTGAAATCTGTTTATCAGTGGTGCCTAAATAAACTTAGAAAGTACATAGGTAAGGTACTTAGAAATATAATCGGAAATGGACCGGTTCGACCGGAGTGATACTACGGCCTCACAATGAAACAACGCTTGCGTTGTGTTTCGTTGTGCGGGCTACCGGAGGCCCAATTATCCTCCCTCCTAAATTTCTCCAATGCCTGAATCCCCAACAATCCTCAAATTTCTAATCTCCGAAAAGACGGTAACACACTTGTAATGCTTCTTGCTTACCATCAGGTGATCCGCGTGCTCGTTTACCGGTTTATCCTACAAAAAAGCAACGGAATGCGGCGGAT